CAAGGAACCCCGCGGCCAGCAGGGAGGGCCCTCTACAAGCCGCGTGCTAGCTTTCAACCGCACGCTAGCTTTCAACCGCAACAGGCCACGCATCCCTCTAGATCTGTTTCGTAAGTCTATATAGCGAACATATGTATTGCCTGCAATTGTATGCCCAAGCGATTACTGCGCGGTGGATGTGCGGTCCCGCATGAGCTCGCGAATGGGTCGGGGAGCACGCGCTCACAAATTGATTAAAGTTTGCTAAGTGACGTCAGATAAGCCGTGCTACGTAGTATCCATCGCGCATTCTCCACACTCGGGAATGTGCAGAGAATGTGCAGGCAACGTCTGGACAATCTATGGAGTCTTCGTGGAAAAGACGCACATTCTCCTCTGTTGGAGAATGTGGCGGCAATGTGGGGAGAACGTGGCGGCAATGTGCTCATTCTCCGCTTGTTCTCCTCCCGCCAAAATCTGGCACTTCACGCTGTGATAGACGAATGCGAGCCTCTCCACGCGTGTGACTGTGCTTGACGCAGGTTCGCTGTTTTTGGTTCCGGTCTGTAGCTTTCGAAAAACAGACGCAGTCATGCGATGTGGATGACGCAGAGTTTGATTCCAGTCCACCGAAGGACCATATTTGATGAACAATAGTCTGACAAGAAGACTTGGGCATGGAGCACAATGGTGTGCTGGGCTGGCGTGTGTATGAGAAGGTTGAGATGCGGTGCAAACGTGCCTTGCCGCTGTTGTCCGACGAGTCCAGTGACACGGAAACGCATTTCGAGGCGCGGTCCGTTACGAAATCGGTGCCCGACGCCTTCCAGATTGAGCAATCCGGCAGCCGCCGCCGGGACTCGCATCGCTCAAGATAGCAACAGGCGGCGAATTGGGAGATGAGAGCGTGTGAGTCACCGCCGTCGGGACCGCCACAAAAGGATGCAGAGTACATGTATGTGACACACCCCTTCGCCTCTTCTTCCCATACCACCTACCTGCAGCAGCGCGTTCGTCCCGTTGGCTGCGTCCTTAGTGTGTGTGACAATGTCATTCCCGTATCATCAGTATGTGGACTACTCGAATCCTGCAACGCCGCGTGTGTACGCTTGGGAAGTAGCGTCAGCAACATCAGACCAAGACCCGACACTCCAGCTTCAGCAGCCTCAAGATCCTCAAGCGCAAGCTCATACACCACTCCAGCAGCCACAGCAGCAGATCTCGCCTTCTCAGCTTCAGCTTCACCAACTGCCTCCGCCTCTTCTTCAACATGCACAGCCCTCAACACCCCAAGAGCACCAAGTTCAGCAGCAGCAGCAGCAGCAGCAGCAACGCCAGCAGTATCCCACCCATCGAACCATCCATGTGCAGCCGCCCCCGCCCACAACGCACCAGTATCGGTTTGAGACCGTAACAGAGGAGGACTTCATACAGGCCAGCGCGAGCGGTGAGCGTCCTGGCTCCGGCTCGTCGCGCAGCGGCAGCGGTCGCCGCGGTGCGTCCAAACCTCCTCTACACGTCGACACGTCGCGACGAGCGTCGTCGTCGGCTGCCGCGAGCCCCGGCGCGCCGTCCGCGTCGGGCACGGGGCGCGTACCTCACGCGAGGACGCATGTTCAGTCTGCCCACCCGTACCGTCGGCCGCAGTCCCGCGCCGCCTCGGGAGGCGCGGGCTCGGGTGCGGGTGCGAGCGCGGGTGCTGCCAGCTCCTCGGGGCAGCAGCACGCCGCTGTGAGATCTCGTCGTGTGAGTGAGTTGCAGTCTGCTCAGACGAGCGTGGGCGGCGTTAGTGCAAGCCACACTGGTGGTGCGCTGCCCACGGTTGGGACCCCGTTGGGGGTGTCGTGTCCGGCTGCTAGTAGTTGGCGTGAGGGACTGCTCGGGCTGTCGACGTCAGGTCAGGGACAGAGCGCGACCGGGACAAGGTGCGTGCTCGCTTCGGGCTCCGTCTCCCTGTCGTCCTCTTGATCTTCCCGGACTAGTCTCGGTATGGAGGCAGGCTCGGCCGGGAGCGGTAGCGCGACACCTCGCGCACAGGCCGACCCCCTTCCTCAAAGCCTTGTTCTACCATTCCCGCTGGAGCCCGTTAAGCGCTACGGCATCCGCGCAGATGTCCACTTCAGCACGGAAGAGAATCTGATCACGGCAATGTTCGAGTTACCCGGTGTCAAGAGGGACGACCTCCGAATCACCATGTCTGTGTGTCCCTTCACCCGCGTGCGTCAAGTCAGCGTGTCCGGCATCTCAAGAGGGGTGCTGCCCCTGCAAGGCCATCAAGTGCGCGAGCGCAAGTTTGGAAAGTTTTTCAGGGCGCTGGCCGTCCCCCCAGAGACAAAGGTGTGTCGCTCCCTCTGGGGGCTCGAGAATCAGTCTGATGCGGGTTCATCATCAGCCGGAGGACGTATCTGTGAACCTTGAAGACGGAGTCCTCACCTTGAAGATACCCGGCGGCACACCTGCGGAAGCGGAGCAGCCGCAGAGCATACCCATCCTCGTTCCAATGGCCCAGTAATTCCCTGCTCCCTGCGATGCAACACTGGCGTTAGGCCTATACGTGTTCGCTTCCACCTCTGCGAAGTCTCAGGCTGCTCAGGACCCAGACATACGATACTTCTTGATGACTCTCCTGCTCCCGTCTCCCGGTCTGTAGTCTGCTCGCTTCCGACACGTCCTGTTGCACTCTCGCCTGAACTTTACGTACCAAAGCCTTCACACGCTCACCACTGTCCACCGCTCAGTCCTCGAAGACCGCTGTGTCAGCTCTCTCCCCATGCATCCCATTCTCCCCCGGTCTCGTTTAAAGCGCTGTCGCAAGCGTGTCTCTGCCCCCCTACATCAAAAGGTACATGTATCATAGCGTATTCCGGAACCCGAGTCCCCAAGGTACCCCGATTCCCTAATTGTTTTACCCTCTCGCGCTCTCGTTATACCATAGTCGTGTCGTCGGACCTTGCATAGTAGTGTTAGTGCTGAATCCCGTATATATACGCACAGTAGTTGCATAGTTGTCTCGTTGCTTGTACATGGTCCCGAACGCAGCTCATTCGAACTCGATAGTGAAGCGTCTGAATATCACAGGTTGCAGAGCCTGGCACGGAAGACACTGGAGACCTAGAAGTGCCGGTGACGGAAAGCGAATTGACGAGAATGCTATGGATGGAGGTTCCATATGAGTACGCAGAGAAGATATGATGCAAGAGCAGGTGTGGTCTGAAAGAGGTCAGAGAGGCCTCGCAAACTGTCATAACACCAACTTCCCCTGGAACGTGTTCGGAAACGGCCGAGGTGTGTTGGTGGCGGAGCCTGCGACACTGCTCAGGACGTTCGCTCTTTGTGAGCCTTCCATGGGGAGCTCATTCTCGTACGAGCCGATGCACCCTTCGGATGCGTTAATGTCAGCTCATGGCCTGCTTACAGGATCTAACATAGACTGTCTTCTGCGCTTTAGTAACGCGTTTCCCGGCATCCGGAGACAGAGCGTACCGTGGGCATCGACGCAGCTCGTACCTGCCTCGCGGCCGCTTCCCCTTGCTCCGAATTTGAAGTCGAGGTACGCTCGAGTTTCGGCCCCCACGACTCGGTTTTCTCTGCTATATGCTCTGATATTTCCGCGTGGCATCCACCCGGGCGTGTCCCCATGTCATGCGAGGCGTCACGCGAACACAGCTGTCCGACAGGACAACCGGATCCCGCTCGTCTGAGGGGCCTTTGTGCGGGGTGCGCTGCGCTCTTCGAGATGCGAGAGTCGCTATTCCCATTCTAGCCGGATAGATCCACAGCTCAATGGGGGATGTCTCCGTGATAGACCGAACAGCGAGTGCTTTACCTCGCCCCTTATGGTCGGTAGCCAACCTGTACGTCACCCTCCTTGATCAATCGACCCTCAGCCTGAGTAACTGATCTCCACGAAAGGAACCCGGCGGCGAGGACACATGAGAGCCGTCCGTTTCGCCCGTGCTTCGCTTCTGTACGCACGTTAGGCCGTGCTTCGCCAGGCGCTCACGAGTTAGCCTTCATATATCCCGACGTAACAACGCCCTCCTTCCATTGCTCTCCCCTCTAGCGATGTCCTTGGTCGACCGTCTCCTCAATTCTGAACCTGCCACTTGGGCGGTGGTAGGGTTCACTGCTGTCCTTCTTATCCACTTCGTACCGTACCTGGCCGATCCCCACCACATACGAGAGTACCCTGGCCCTCTTCTCGCCAAGTTATCCGACATCTGGCTGGGCTATGTCGCTGCTCAGGGGCATCGTTCTGAACGCGTCCATGAGCTGCACAAGCAATACGGTCAGTTGCACACCTGACGCTCATGCTCCGACTGCTGTGGCGGCGCTCGTGACGCGAGGCGGAGCGTGTCCACGAGACCACGCTCAATAGACCACGCTCCATATAGCTGGCGAAAGTCTATTTCTCCATGGCTGCTTCCGTCATCGAGAAGCACCCTGCGCACATCATAGCCCTGTCTCCTTTTGTCTCGCGGGCACGGTGGTCGTGAAAAGGTTCCCATGCTGACCCAATTCTGGACATCGCACAGGTACCTTTGTGCGCATCGCGCCGAACCATTTGTCCATCTCGGACCCCGAAGCGCTCCAAGTCGTCTATGGCCATGGAACAGGCACGCTCAAGTCGGACTTCTACGACGCGTTCGTGTCCATCCAGCGCGGCCTCTTCAACACGCGTTCGCGCGTACAACATGCGCGCAAGCGCAAGATTGTTTCCAACATCTTCGCGCAAAAGAACGTCCTGGACTTCGAGCCTCATGTCCGCCAGCACCTCGCAAACCTCTTCAGGCAGTGGGACAAGCTCTGCGAGGGCGGGAAAAACGGGCTCTCCGGCGATGAGGGCGAGGGTGGTTGGCAAGGCCGAGACGGTCGCGTATGGTACGATTGTCTGCCATGGTACAACTATCTCGCGTTCGACATCATAGGTAGGTAACTCGCACCTTGCTATCACCCTTTGACAGCGGCGCGGCTCGCTGAACGTCACGTCCTGTACTGAAACATGCCACTAATCCGCGGTTCGCAGGCGACCTCGCGTTCGGGGCGCCCTTTGGGATGCTCGACGCCTGCAAGGACTCGGCGCCCGTCGCGGTCTCCCACAAGGCTGCCATGGCGGCGTATGGGTCCTCCGACTCCTCCAAGGAAATCCAGATCGAACACTTCCCAGCTGTGCAGGTTCTGAACGACCGCGGCGAGTATTCCGCTGCGATGGGCGTACTGCCCCCGCACTGGCGCCCGCTTGCGAAGAAGATCCCATGGTACTCGAAAGGCAACCAGGCTGTCCAGAAACTCGCCGGTATCGCTGTCGCTGCAGTCGCCCAGAGGTTTGCTAACCCTTCCGACCGAGCGGATCTCCTTTCGAAACTGCAGGAAGGCCGCGACGATAATGGTGACCCAATGGGGAGGGAGGAGCTTACGGCCGAGGCGCTCACGCAATTGATTGCGGGGAGTGACACGACTTCGAAGTGAGTCTGCTATCCAATCTGTCTCCGTTTGCCTCTTGGATCGTTTCGGGGTGACTTCCTCCGCGCCCGATGCGCCAACAGGCGTCCGGAGGTAGTTCGTGGGGTACTTGTTTGACTGAAATCGACGCTGATTTACTCCATTTGCGCAGCTCCTCTTGCGCCCTTACGTACTGGCTCGCCAAGAACCAAGCCGCTCAGCGTAAGCTCCAGCAAGAGCTCGATGCCGCGCTTGGTAGCGATGACGATCCGGTTGCCTCATACGAGCAGGTCAAGCGTCTGCCCTATCTCGAAGCTGTCATCAACGAGGCCCTCCGCATCCACGCCACCTCCGGAATTGGGTTGCCACGACTCGTGCCGGAGGGAGGGCTGACTGTGTGCGGCAAGTTCTTCCCGGAGGGTACGGTGCTGAGCGTGCCGACGTACACGATTCACCGCGATAAGGCCGTTTGGGGCGAAGACGTTGACGACTTCCGGCCGGAGAGATGGTTCGAGCAGGACAAGAACCTCGTACAGAAGACGTTCAACCCATTCTCGTTCGGACCTAGGTCAGTCTAGCTTGTTGTGATCACGGATGGAAGGACCTATGGCTGACTATTATGGGTGGGTGCCTGCAGGAGTTGCGTCGGAAGGAATCTTGCTAACTTGGAGCTGCTCGTGATCGTGGCTTCTATCTTCCGCCGGTATCACTTCGTCCTGGAGAATCCCAATGCCCAGGTAAGTTCCGGTGTTTTCTATGTCACCTACTCTAGATGTGCTGAATCTATCGACAAGCTTGAAACGAGGGAGGGCTTCCTGCGCAAGCCGGTGGAATGCAAAGTCGGCATGAAGCAAAGGCACACGTAGATAGTGACTGCCGCTCTACTTCGCACGGTCTGGGTGGACGTCTATAGAGATATCTTTCTACAATTGTAAGATAATGCTACACGCGGGTTGCATGAGAACAGCCATTCTCGCCAGTAATCAGAGTTGCATAGATGATACAAAGTGAGGTGTATTTCTCATTTTCCTGTCATGATTTCAGAACGGCAAAGCGGGCAACTTGACGAATGACTCGTGTTGAACCACTACGACACACCATGAGTCCCCATAGTTCTCACTGTAAGTAGGGCGATCACGAACCTTGTAAAGACATGCTGCATGGAAGCGGTTCTTGCAAGTCTTGCAAGGCTTGCGTGGCAAGCTACCGTCGGTGGGGTTCACGATGCTGTGAAACAGTATGGAGATACTCCATAAAATCGAAGGGTAGGTTTGAATACGCACGAATAGCAGATTGCACACTCAGCGATGCCTGCGAAGTGCGACGTGACGTTCTTCAGGAAGAAGCTCAGCCCGTCGACAATGCTTCCACTCTGTGCAGCCCGTTTCAGTACGCCGTCCAGAATTCTACACAGGACAGAGCCTAAACATACCCGGAATGTCAAGATCTGCCGTACACCCAGCACCCACGCTCTCCATCGGTCTTCCGTGACGCCCACTAGCCTGGAGTCTCGAATGTCGACCGCGTGAAGCGGCCAGTCCGCTGGGAGCTTGATGGTCAATTCGAGCTTCTGCTCGTCGACTGCATAGGCGGCAGTAACTTCGTTGACGGCGTTCGCGACCTTGATGGTGATGTTCTCGTTCTCGCTCACAAGTTCCTGTGCCGTGCTGGGGTCCTTGACGCGCTCTAATTCGGTACGGATAATCGCCGGCGAGAAGTGGCGCGATGTGTATGCTGTAACTGTTGTGTGAAGCTGGCGGTCGCGACAATCGTTGAGCCAGGCGCGGATGAGAGATGGGACGAGGAGCAGCGCGCGGTAATAGAGGTGGGCGGTGAGGAGTCGGAGGGAGATCGGTGTATCAGTGGTATAATCTAGTGACGAGTTCGTTTTGATCAGAACAAGGTTAGGTTCAGAGATGCAGCTTAGCTCACAGTCGAGATAGAACTCGTCTACGTCCCAGATCTCGAGCTTGAACGCTTTCGCCATGCCTCCGTATAGGTCCAATAAGCCAAAGACAACTGGGAGAAGTCTGGAGCCCACGAGGTCAAGATCCTTGAGTTGGTCGATATAGCCCGACTTCACTTTCATTGACTGCGAAAGCGTAACATCAGCAAAAGAGTGATAATGCGACAGTATGGACTACTTACGGCGCCATGGAACAGATCAAACGTTACCATCCAAGCCAGTATTTGGCCGAACCAGCCCTACCAAAAGTGAATGAAGCGGATCGTCAAAGTATTCGGGGTGAGAGACGAACCTCTCCGTACTCCTCCCCTTCTTCCTGATTCAGACTGTGTTGCAAGATATTCAGCAACTCAGTAGGAAGTTCTGGTTTCACAGCATCTTCGGTGTCGACAGCAGCCTCGATGACAAGCTCTTCCGTGTACTTCTTCGCTGCTTCCTGCAGGAGCTGGTATGCCATCCGTTGCACGTCGATGGAGCCGTCTGTGACGAGGTGACACATCTTCGGGAGCGTATCTCGGGTGAGAAGAGAGGGAGGAAGATCTTGCACAATTTGAAGGGCGAGCTCCCGGCACATCGACAACGGCGTTGATAAAGTTGAACTCTCTGGAAGCCTGTCAGTCAGCATCTCTCAACCGTAGTTATGGTACATACCCAGCTTGAGCGAAACGAGATCTCGGATCAGGGTGAGAATGGCTGATCTCCTCTCATCCCATATCGCTTTGAGCGCCTTATTCGAGGATGCGAAGTCCTCGATGATCATGAACAACTGGAGCGTCCTGCTGAGGGTGACATAGGTGGATGGATCATCCAATGTCGAGTTCTGCATAAAGAGGTTAGCTCTCGCAGCCCTCGTTCCGAACTCTTTCGCACACCTCGAGATTGTTCTCCACCACATCGAACACAAGATCCCAGTGCCCGCCCGGCACGTTGGACAGGATCGGCACCAGGCTCGCAAACACCAGCGTCATCTCGCTCTGCACGTCCTCTTCCAGGTCCTCGTCTGATGTGATCCACTGCTGGCAGGCTTTAATGAGGTTGATCGCACGCTGCTGTGGAAGGAAGACCACGTCGGAGTCCGGGTCGGGCGCGGACGCTGCGAGGTTGCGGAGGAGCCAGAGCCCCTCGGTGTTCGCCTTTGAAGCTGGGATGCCCAACGTGCCCGCTGCGAGCTCGTTGCGGAACCGTTCCAGCCGCGTCGGCTCTGGCGCATAGCGGGTGATGGAGAAGATGATTGCGAGGGATGTATGAGGAGCTGCCCGACACGCAACGTCACATGAGAGAGGTAATGAGCGCATATATCGCAGCAGTACTCACCCAACTTCTCAATCTTCCTGGCGACAAGCATCCATTGCTCCGAGTCTGCCTTCGTTGCGGTACTGAGAGCGTGCCGGAGGATCATATGAAGGACACGCGACTCGCGGACCGTGTCACGACGCGTCGCACGGCCGACCAAGTCAACAACAAGCTGGCCGACCCCCTCAAGACCCGTCGCCGGACCCTGGTTCACGAGCGCATTCGTCACGCTGGAGTGCCACTTCTCGTCCGTGGCCGAGGAAAGAAGGTACGCCGCGAGCTGCTGCACTCTGTCCAATATGCTCTGCAATGTAGCGCGAGCGACGGTCTTGGCGAACACCGGGCTCTGCGCACCAGGCAGGTAACTGCTCTCCTCCGCGTAGATCGCGAGCGCAAGGATATGGTGCAGCGCCCACATGCTCTCCTTCGCTGTCTGCCGCTCGTCTACGAGGTAAAGCAACAGCCCGTGCACGGTGCGCGCGTACTTCGCGAGGCCCTGCGTATCGAACTCGCTCGCTGTAACTTTGATTGAGCGGTATTGCACCGATGGTGGTACGAGAGGGTCCACGACCGCCAAACTCGGATCCAGAGGGGTAGAGGGTAGCGCTTCCAACATGCTGTCTAGCTCCGCCCTGGATGGGAATATATCCGATAGCACGTCGACCTTTGAGCCGAACGAAGAGGCAGACAGAGTACGCAAGACATGCTCTGGCCTGTGATTAAACACGATATGATCAGTTGCACGTTATGCAAGACAGCGAGAGCGGACGAACGTGGCTTTATTGGAGCTGTCAATGAGCAGTTCACGCAGCAGATGTTTGATGACAGACAACGTAGTGCCCTTCGCCTCCGCAGAGCCGATGTGGACCCACTTCTGCCAGAGTCCCTTAGCGAGAGCTTGTTGCTTGGCGTCCACCGGGAGGACTTGTGGAAGTAGAAAGGCGAGCAAGAACGCATACGGGAAGAGCGAGGACGCGAAGCTCTCAATTGCGCTCGCGGACGGGTCACGCTCAATGAGGTCGTGAAGTAGGCTCAGAGGAATGTTGAACGCGTCCACAGAAGACTTGTTCTCGTGCAAGACGTCGTCGAAGTGGAGTCTGAACGAGTCCACGAGGCTGTGCAGAAGACCCTCACGGCAGCTTCGAGAGATGAAGGGCTCTGCGAATCGTCTCCGTTAGCAACGACACGACGTGATTTCATGCGACATACGGTAGTTGACCAGAAGCCTCCCGATCAGCGATGTGGAAGTCGCACCCTGGGGACCAGCGAGCGCCTCGGAGAGCATGTGGGCGGCCGCGTCGTGGAGCGCCTCTCCTTGTGGTCTCAGGTAGTCGGGAAGCCGCTTACTCTCCGCTGCATCCAGAAGCGCGGGGAGCGTCGAGTCGAGCTCCTCAGGGCTACGCCCAACAGTCTCGAGCACACGGTGCCAGACTGTCGACGCGACCACTTCATCTTTGCGGAACTTGAGGTAGAGGAGCAGCAGGGATGGCATCGCTGTGAGGAGGCGGTCTGTCTGAGACTGAACCAATCCGTCTACGTCCTGAGACAACCGTCAGCATGCTGTAATCACGGACAGACGTCCCAGTGAGACGAACCTTCGCCATCTGGTCGTCCGCGAAGACAAGCTCGCCGAACCTCTCGAGAATTCCAACAAGGGACGCCACACGCGCGTCCTGCGCCTCGTCCGCCTGCAACAGCGCCGCGCACTCCTCGAGCGTCGTCCTCACCACAAGCAGCAAAAGATCGTTCGCAGCATCTGCAGGCGCAGTCCCCCTCTCCAGCGAGGCGACGAACTGCTGCAGGAGTTCGGGCACAAGCGCAGGGACCGCCTCCGCGGCGGACTTGACGGAGTTCTCGATCGCCCCAGCGACGACCCTCCATCCGGCCTCGAACAAGTCTGCGGTGCGGAGCGGAGATGAGCGAGTGCGCAGTAATATCAGGACGAAGCCCGGGGCTTACCTGCGCGAAGCCTGTACAAAGCCGCGAAAGTCTTCGCCAGCTCCGTCCCGGCGCTCGCCCCCTTGACCTTGAGCCTCCCGGAGGACAGCTCTTGCCAGGCGCGCTTGATCTGGTCCTGGATGAGCGTCTTCACGGCGGCGTCGACGTTCGGAGATTGGCTTTCCGCGGCCGTGCCGTGGATGAGAGAAATGGCTTCGTCTGCTGGAGCCGACACGACACGACGGACGACGAACACCAGGGATTCCAAGACGGATGCGAAGAACGCTGTGGATGCGGCTACGCGGTCGAGCGAGTTCAGCACGCGGGCATCGACCGCGGCCCAGAAGGACACGAAGAGATCCTCAAGTGGACGTTCAGAAGAGGGCGAAACGATCTAGAAAACCAGTCAGGTACAGGCATATAACAGGAAGACGCAGGGGCACTCACCGAAGATGGAATTGTGGATAAGATGATGAGGACAGTAGGGTACCCCTGTGCAGGAGACCCGGAGCACCCGGTGGCGAGGAACTGCAGGAACTCCGTGTACGCTTGCGATGGGCCAGTCGGAGACGTGGATGGTTTTAGAGGAGGCTTCGAGGCTTCGCCATCACTGTCGGAGCCTGACTCTTCCTCATCCTCCTTCTCGGCCTCCGCTTCCAGCGTCCAAGCATTTGGGTGTTCTGCGCGCACGGAATTAGCCATCAAGCTACGTCGTAGGAAACGGGATGGGCCATACCCTTGAGGAAGACGAGCAGCGGTTGCCACATCGCAGCTCTGACGTTCGGATCGGGTTCGACCCAGGCAGACCTGAGGATAGCGCTGCTCAGGACGGGGACGAGGCTCTCGAGTTGAGCTGCATAGGAAGATATTAGTGTGGCTTCTCAGCCGTCGCATCTACGTACGATGCTTACCCTTGCACTTCTGGACTAACGTCTGGAGCAACGACCACGCCGATCGTCTTACCACGGGCTGCTCGAAGCCGAAGCTCTCAGAGTCGACGAATGGTGGTACCTTTCCATAGTACAGAGACGACCACAGAGCTGGATTCGCAAGAGGCTCGAAGAACGCGTCCTCCTTCTCTTCAGCCTCATTCACACTCGCCGTCGTCTTCGCCTCCGCCCTCTCGTCCGTCTTGCTCGGAGCAGCGGCAGCGGTGTATTTTGCATCTGAAGAACACGCGTAGAAAAGGGGTGGGGGAGGGAGGAAAAGAAACGACTGCATTGAACACATGTACATGCTTCCCACAAGAGACGTAGGACACCCACTCAAAACCCACTCGGTCGCCCCGAAGGCACCCACGCGCAGGCGCGCCTTCCTATCCTGTTCGTTCTCCTCGTCCTCGTCCGCCTTCGCGCGCGGGCTCGGGCTCGGGCTCGGGCTCGCGTCCCCGTCGCGCCGTACTGGGGTACCGCGCCCGCTGCCCTTCTTTCCGCCTTGGGCTCGGACTGGCAGCATGGGTTGTGGGGGGTTAATGTAGAGGTAGACTCCCGAGGGGTCGAGGAGTGTGCGCTGGACGAAGTCCCAGAGGCGCGGGAGGAGCGTCGCGCCGAGGGCGAGCTTGTCGTCGGAGGGGGAGGCGGCGGTGACGTACCGGAGCCAGGACTCGCGCGCAAAGGAGGAGACCTGGCGGTCGACGTCGTGCACGGCGAGGCACCACGAGCCTAGGATAGATTCTGCTTGGTCGGACGAGATAGCTTCACGGATCTGGAAGAAGATCTGGGTGCGTAGGTTTGGAATCTCGAGGAAGGAGGAGTGGAGGGCGATGGCCTGGAGTCTGATCCGTCTGGAGGGGTGCAGGAAGAGGGCTGGGATGTGGTGTAGCTGGAAGGTAGGATGTTAGCGAGAGCGAGCGGGAGAGTCAGCAGCGAAGACGGCCGCACCCAGACCGGAATGATCTCCTGTAAGGTGTAGACAAGGTACTCGCCCTCTTCGCCCTTCTTCGCTCGGCCAATCCAAGCGGTCTGCATATCTTCGAGAGCGCGTCGTTTCGTGGTAGCATCCTTCTTCGCGAGGAGGCGCAGCACCACGACGAGTTCCGCAGGGAGCCTCTGCGCGAGCCCAAGAGTATCAAGAGGATCTGGAACGATTGGAGCGGGTTTTACAGGGGGGACATAGACCTTCTTGCGAGGCTCCTTCTTGCTCTTCTTATCCTTGCCTTTGGGCTTCTTCTCCTTGGGTACCTGGGGCTCTTCCACGACGCCCTGTGTGGAGGCAGCCTTGCGAGCATGCTTCTTGCGCGTAGCAGATGTCGCGGACGACTTTCCCTTGGGTGCCATGGGGCGAGGATTTGACTAGCGAGGAGTGGAAGTGTACCGAGTGAGATGCATAAGGCGGCGAGCTTATGAGAGTCGAGTCTGCGCGAGTCTTTCCACCACCCTTTCCGAATCCGGCACCGCGACGCCATGACGCACTCCAGTCATTCCCGCACGTGCCTATCATCTACGGAGGCGATTGCTCATATCCGCGACCTCTACTGTCCGCGCTCCTACTGGTAGCTCGTCTGTATTCCTCATCCATCGTGATCTGAGGGTGCGCTACTTTTGCGGAGACTGCTGAGCAGGTCATATAAGCCCACGAACGAGACCGGTGGAAGATTGCTAGCAGGACAGCAGTCACCCTCGTGGCGTCGAAATCGATTCACCATGTCCAAATGTAGGGTACTGGTACCAGCCTGCACCGTTGTCTGGTTGCTTACGCCGCTCGCAAGCACAATCGCAATACGCAGCTGCATCGGGCCTCCCGCTCATCAAATCACCTAGTCTGCGCCTTCCCCGGCCTGTTCGTATCCCATTGTCGATAAGACATGTTAGTGACATTGACGAACAATGACAGGTAGAACTCCCACCGGACATTCATCCCCTGCCAGATAGTGTGACTGCATATGTGAGTCCCAGGCCAACCAAAACTGTCGAAGACGATTGATAAACGCCATGTTACTTAGTTCGTATACCCGTTCACGCTTGAGCCGCACGTCCTCACTGTGGAGGCATCTCGAAGATCCACTCTTGCTGCGCATGCCACTCGCCGCGAGGCATACCTCAAGGCCCGAGAGGAAGAGAAAGAGCGGCGGAAGCGTGAAGCTCTCCGAAAGATTGCCCCGGGTTTCGAACCGAGGTCTACGCCGCTCGTCCCTACCAAGCGGTTCTCAGGTATTCCTATCTCACCTACAACTCCCTCCGCAGACGACTCTACCCACAGAAGAACCAAGTCGGTCATGGAGGAGTTGGTTGACCATCTGGCAGCCCTGGACTCGAAGTAGGCACTTCGATCGGCGAAGTCGTATAATGTAGGTTATTGTACAATAGTATCAACATGTGGTGCGGATTAGCAGATGGGTATGCAATCATCTTTCAAGGACGAACGCTGTGATTCCTCACATCGAGCGTATCACCGCGCCCGTCGTCAGCTGAAACTTATTCAGCTTGCCTCGTCGCACTCGTGCACGTTTCCGTGTTAAGTCCGTGGCAGGGAAGCCCACATGCTATATCCTGGAAGCATCTATCTTCCCAACATGGCCCACAATAAAGCTTCTTAGCAGCTGGCAGCGCGCTCACCACGCGCTCCCAAACCAGTGTACTCCATTACGTTGTTCCGGAGGAAATATACCAAGTACTAGTACCACCGTATAGTAGCTGCGCCGTCGACGCCTGTTATGCAGCGTGGAGATTTCTCGTGATTAGATTCTTTAGTTCCGAAGAGCCGGGCGACGAAGCGTGGTAAGTCCTCGGGCAGGCGCGAGCCCATTGTACTTATAGCACTGCGTCTCTTGGCCTCCTCCTTCTTCCCCAATCTAATGCTCCCGCACCAAGACGCTCTGCTCATCCACCCATATCGCTAAGACCTCAAGGTGGACCACTAATTTTGTACGATCCTTCAAAGAATCAGGCAATGTCTCCTCGGGATAACGTCCCAGGCCGCAAAGCATTCAGCCCAGACCGAAGATGTCACGTACGTCGTCCCATCCTCTACTCACTTCCCTCATGTTTCCCTCCCCCTTTCCCATTCGTACACCTCCAAACGAGATGTTGAACACCGCCCGCCGTCGCGCAGTGGTTCGACAGCAATGGCCGGCCCTACAAACGCCTCGACGGCGGCATCGGCTGCCCCCGCAACCGCATGTGCTACTTCGCCCACCCCAATGACGGCGAGCACTGGCGCAACGCCCGGGCCTCCGGCGAGCCCCCGCTCCAGTACCTCACCGACGACGAGTACCGTCTCATCGTCGGCCGACACCGCTCGCCCGGCCGCCCCCCGCCCTACCTCCCGAACCACCACAATCACCACCACCCCCAGTCCGCCGTCGCGAATGCCGCCCGCCATCGCTCCCTCAGCCCCGGGCGCAGGCGCGAGCGGCCCCCGAGCCCTGCCCCTGGTCCGAGTCTGCGCCGCCGGTCGGACAGCCGCGAGCGGGCGCTGGCGGCGAGCGCCGCCGCGTCCCCAACGCTCGCGCAGCGTATCCGTGGGCGGCGGTCGATCAGTCGTGAACGGGAGAACGCAGCCGCGCGTGCGTATGGACACCGAAGCTCGCGCTCGCGCTCGCCCGTCCTCCGCGGAAGGCTTCGCACGCCGCCACCGCCGGCGGGCCCAGCTGGTGGGGCGCCGCCGAGGGGTCCCAGGCCCTATGGTGCGATCCCGGATGGTCCTAGGAATGGAGGCGGTGGTGCAGGGGCGGCGAACTTCAACCACAGAAGCCCGATGTTCCTGAAGAACGAGGCTGTGGACGTGCCAATGAGGGACGTGGGGACGACGTCCACGAAGGCGTCTTACGGAAGGGAGAGCAGCATCGCGAGCACCCGCATTCCTTCCCAGCACTCGTCCCCTTCAAGAGTTCATGCTACGGCTTCCGTATCCATGGCTGGAATGGACGCTGACCGTGCAGCTGTGCCGCAACCGACCGCAAACGCAGCTGCTACTCCTCCCTCAAGCGTTCCCACTCCGGACACGATAAAGACCCTGTTGGAATCTAACCAGCTCCAGTGGCAGCAAATATCTTCTGCGGTAGCCGCCGCCACATCGGCGGTGCCAAAAGCGTCCGGGCAGGGCGCTGGTTTTGGCGGAGATCTCTCCATCGAAGAGAAGAATAAGATCTGGTCGAGCCGTGTCGAGTGAGTGATGCAATGTGCTTCGCAGACTGACCTGAAATGCCGACGTAACGTGCCCGCCCCGCAGACTTCTTGCAGCGGCGACGCGCATACATAATGACTGCCGTTCGATGGAAACCGATATCCGTGATTATAAGCAGCTCGTCGAATCATTCAGCTACCAGACTCTCCCCGCCGAGGACAGGACCGTGATAGAGGGCCACCTGCAAAGTTTGCAGGGGCAGCTGGGACAGAAAGCGGACGATATGAAGAAGATCCTGACCAATTTATCGTCCGCGAAATTTTGGCCCACATACACAAACCGACGCACACTCCCGCCCGGATTGGATGGAAACAGCAAGGAACATCAACAAGAGCTGGCTAAAGAAATCGGGTCTCTGAAAGGCTCTGTTTCTCAACTACAGGACTTGTTTAAATCTGTCGATGCGCGATGGGAGCAGATGTCTAAGCAACTTCAAAGTAATCTCTCGTCCGAGTCTAGGGCCACTGGTGGAGGAGACGTGGAGATGGCCTCAAACCAAGCCAGTACGTTCTTGGCCGAAGCAATTGTCCCTTCAGAACTGGAGAAAATCCGCGACACCATGGCGAACTTCGAAGAACGCCTGGGCAGGCTCGAACGTGATGTGCAGGACCCGTCGCTGCTCGCGCAGATCGACGCGATCATCGCCGAAAACGTGCAATCCATCGTCCTCGCCTCTACGGGAACCGTGCAGGCCAAACCGCCCGAGCCTCGTGCCGCGCTCACCGAGGAGCAGCTCAAGACGCTCCAGACGTTGCAGCAGCATGCGGCGACTACTGGGCAACAGGTCGCAAGGCTGTCGCAAGAAGTGGCGCAGCTGGCCGGATTCAACGAACGGCTGCAGACCGAGAACATGGCGCTCCAAGCCGAGAACGTCCAGCTCCGGCAGCAGCTGGAGGAGGTACGCCACACTGACTCGTTTCTCAGCCCGTTCGGCTTAACGCGTGTTCATGACAGCTTCAAAATACGCAGACGTCGTCGGGAGATTCGACGCAAGCCGATAGAATGATATCAGAGATGCGCGCATTGAACGCGGCCGTCCGGGCGTATATCTCTCAAGGCTCTTCTTCGCAATCTGCTGAACCCATGGGAGACGCAGTTGTTAAGCAGATTGCACCCTACCTCGTCAAGTCTATCCCCGAACTCATTGCCCCGCAACTTCAGGGCCTGCGCGATCAACAAGAGACACTGCGTGCTGCGCACACGCAGGCCATTCAAGAATTGTCGACGAAGATGTCCTCAACGTTGCAGGCTATTGAAGCGATTCGTGTCTTGGTCGGAGGGCTGGAGGTGAAGAGTCCGCCGCCACCTTCTCACCCGACTGTGAACGGAGCGTCGTAGAAGCTTTGATAATGCTGTTCTGATTATGAACCCTTCCGCCGTCCTCATGCTCGCATATGCTTTAAATTGGCTGCCTTTCTTTCCTCCTTCGGCATCACCTGCACTTCTACCAGTCGTCACCGCACTGCCAGTATCTATCTTCATGCAATTACCATATTCCGTTGTTGTATCCGTAGCGCAATTATGTTATGCCTGACGGCCGAAAGCCATCGAGTTGTAGTCCAGGGACTCCGTTCAGACCCATATGAATACAATTTTGTGACATGCGTCGTCGCATATGCATGGAGCGTGCATACTACATAATGCGCGGATGGTAGATAGTGGCAGTGATAATACGGATGGCGAGACAAGGACAAGGATACGATGCGAAGACGATTACTGCACAAAGAATGAGCACGAAGGTCGTACGGACGAGTGGGTAGAGGGGGATACTCACGAATTGGAGCGCAGCACCCTTCGTCTTCTTCTCACCACCAAGCTCGAAGCTACAGCGCTGACGTAAACAACGGCAACGAAGGGGAACATGGACGAGGGCAACGTACTGCTTGCAACGCTTCAGGGAGAGCTGCATCTTGTACTTGCACACCGTGCACTCTAGCCGGAGCACGACCTTCTTCGTCGTCTTTGCCTGTTACACCGATACGCCATCGGTTGAGCACTGGTCTTGTTGCCGCGCCCTAATCAATACCATGAAACGTACCTTCTTGTGGAAGACGGGCTTGGTCTGACCACCGTACCCGGACTGCTTACGGTCGTAACGACGCTTTCCCTGCGCAGCCAACGAATCCTTGCCCTTCTTGTACTGGGTCACCTTGTGAGGCCTGCAGGACAACCCGGACGCTCAACACCACGCTCGGAGCATGAGGATAACGGATACATACGTGTGCTTCCTGCACTGCTTGCCCTTGCAGTCTAGAAAGCCCCAAGTCAATACCCCATCTCAACCTTCTCTCCCGTCCGAGCGAACTCACAAGTCCGGCGAGTCCTAACGAGAAGCGTACAGTCAGCACCCCGGCATATAATTAAAAAGCAATGCTTCAACATACTTGGGGATGTTGACCATGGCGGAGGTGTCGTTGGCGACGTTGTCTTGAGGATTGTGGGCGGGTGGACGTGCGATAGTCTCAGCAATCCGTCCCTCCGACGGAAACGGCAACTAGTTGATCAAACAAGGTTCACACTCCGCTCAGCCACAGTCAGAGAGTGCTCAGCCAGTAGGCGCTTATTGTACACCCCACAGTGAGCGTCGATATATCACTGGCATACATATGTGAGCATTGCGAAGGCAATGTATATACGCGAGTGGAACGTGTCTAGTACACAGTGTATAGTCCGTACTCCATGTCGATTAGCTTATAATCTCCGCCTTCTCTTCGACCGCGTCCGCCACTGGGTCCTTCTGCACGACGGCCTTCTGCGCAGCAGCGAGGTCCTCTGGAGGCACAAATAGCGTTGAGAGCTGGAACTTCGCTCTACAGGCTGCTCGGAACTCCTCTGCCCGTTGCGATCGGATCTCGGTCAGGAACGCGACGATCGCGAGAGCCGTCTATGAGTTACAGCGTTCGACGTTTGGTTGTATGAAATGTCTATACACAGCAAACATGAGCGTACCTCTAGTTTGAGCTCTGTATCGGCATTGAGCGCGGTGAAGATCGACGCTTCGACCTCTTCTCGAGGAGCGCCGAGCGTCCGCGAGACCTTCGTGGCGGCAAGGACCGCGTCTGCTCGTGAGGAATGGCGCTGGAGGTATTGCGAGTTGAATACCTCCAGCGATACTTCATCCGGTATGAGTTTCTGAATCGCTGACAAAGCGGCAGAGGCGGCGTTCTCGGACGGCTTGTCTGTCAACGATGTCCCTTTATAAGAGCGTTGCGGTTAGCGCAGGAGGTAAGTGGACATGTAGGATCACATCGTACATCTTCGCTGGAAGTCAACCAGACGGAAATGCAGTTCTGGTGAGTCTGCGTTCAATGCATGTGCGCGGTTCAGAGCCTGAATGGCTTGCAGATATCTCTCTGTGATTGCGAGGTGTTAAATCCATAGTGAACAACGGGAGGGAATATCACGAACTCCGCCGGACCGCGACGTCGTGGATTGCGAGCCACGCATCGATGTTATCTTTAGCCATCGTGGTTAGAGGTTTGAGCACCTTTGCTGCACGCTCGAGCGGGTCCGACGCTTGCAGGAGCTTCGTGCCATCCGGATCTTCGTCCTTGAGTGGACCGATATCAAGGCCCTTGTCCTCGTTAGCGGAGTTCTGGTTAGCTACGCGGTGACAGAGTAAGCTTGAGAGCAAATGCAGAGTGATGACCTGCATGGGCGTACCCTTCTTGGCCTCCTCCTGGACCTTCTTTTCGGCTCTTTTCGCCTTCTTCTTCTGCTTCTTGGAGAGTTCCGCTGCAGACGAAGAGCAGCGGAGTAAATCGCATGGAGTGATGGGTTTATAGCGACCGCGGCTTACACTCAGACGAAGGCTTTGTCGCTAACGACGGGTCATCGTGTACTTTGACGAGTATCTAACGCGACTTCAGCATGTTACTGCAAAGGGCAGCTCAATGAACACGTACTCGAGAAGCCTCGATGGCTGAGTGGACGTACGCAGGATGTGACCGTAAGTTGTCCTCCCACTTGATCAAGCTGTATCATGATGACCGTTTAGACACGGCACTCAGCCTCGTAAGGATCCCGACACTCACTTCAGGTAGATGTTGATCGTGAACTTGCGCACGGAGTACCCGTGGAAGTCGAACTGGTCATCCTCAAAGACATCAAAGATCCTATGGATCGCATCGTACTTCTTCAGCGCCATCGCGAGGTTCCCATTACGCAGCTGCGCGTCCGCCTCCTCGGTCAGGTATATCAGCGACTGCATGTCTTCCAGGTCCTGCGACGGGCTCGGGGCATCTTTCTGTGCACACCCAGTGCAAGCCTCCAAGTCAATACAAGCACCACGGAGTCCGGTGATACCTAGTACTGAGACGTACCTTTGTGAATAGCCCAAACACTTCGACCGCCTCATCGATCAACCCTGCCCTCAGGCGATACTTGCCCGCCTTCGTGTTCAAGAACCGGTCCTGCAGATCCAGCGTCCTCGCCAAATCCATGTTCTTCGCCGCTCCGAAGGGGTCCCCCGCGCGCTTCAGGACACGCGCCTTGAACATATACAGCTCGGGCAGCGTCGGCGTGTGTCCAATCGCCTCATCTAGCAGCTCGATCGCTTTCTTGTGACTTCCCAAGAACGAGTGATGCTGTGCCAGGTAGTAAAGCGCCCATATGTACTCTGTGGGGTCGGTGTCGGGCGGCGAAGGGGAGGTTGCGGGGTGGACGAGCGTCGACAGAAGGGAGGTGACAGTCTGCTCGATGGTGTCGCGCTTTGAGGAGGAGCGATAGAGGGACTTGAGGTCGGCGAAAAGGGAGGGGACGCCCTTCTCGAGGCGAGTCTTGAGGTAGGGCTGGACGAGCTTGGTGAATTTGTCTCCTGATGGGTACTGTGGGTTGGTATGTATCGGCTTGAGTCAGTTGAGGCCACATACCTTGAGCGATCTCAAGTGCTATTCGGAGTGGGGCGGATGCTTTAGGAAATTGGGCCGAGAAGTCGTGCAAGCTGTGCAGAGCTTGATCTCGTTGCTCGTCCGTGATAGCCTCTGCAAACAAGAATGAGGAACGCCACCACCATCTGATACAAGCAACGTCTTACCGAGGTCAATTCCGCGACTTGCCAGGTACCCCTTATAATAATCCCAGCAGTTCGGGTTCTGCTCGATGAGCCCCTGCCACGCCTGCTGCGCCTCGTCCTTACCAGCCTTCGACAAAATTCGCGCTAATAGTAGTGGACGGAGGCGGTCGAGCCGTCTTGAGTACTCACGGCCCACTCACCAATGCGCCCAGCGGCTCACCTCGGAACTCCTGAATCGCGACCCGGTCGATGATAGCGCGCGACTTGGCATTGGCGTCAAGGAGCGAGAGCGCGTCCGCGTACTCGCCGAGCTCCTCCAAGACACGGACGTGATATAGCAGGATCTCGGACATCTCGACGTCGTAGTCGGGCACATTCTGCTTGGGCGCGTTCAGTGACAGGTGAGGGGAAGAGGGGATACTTGTCGTACGCACCTTGACGATGCGCTCATACTGTTCGAGCACACTCTTCGCCTCTGCGAGGTTGCCGCTCAGGTGGTACGCAACGGCGAGTGCGATCCAGTTCTGACGGAGCTGAGGCCGTAGCCTGAGGAGGGTGTGGCGGGTCTCGACAAGCCCGTCGTAGAGCCGCAACTGCGTCTGCAGATGCGCGGCGTCGCGGAGGATGTTCATGTTTTCCTGCAATCATCACATTGTCAGCGAGCTCCGATCCGATGCATGGATTCGGCAATCCTGGGCTTCCGGAGAAGTAAAGATTTGAGGCTATGACAGATCTAGGACGACAATACGCGATGGAACGCTGCTTCACGGCGTGTATAGTCGCACGCGTAAATTTGCCTGTTAAGACGCGGGTGATCCGCACAGAAGTGGGTCCGTGGCAGACAATGCTTGGGCTCGCCCGAGGGAGCACAACAGCCAGGCCACACACGCATTCTGGTCGGGTTGTGTGAAAATGATGCAGATGATTCAGCCCTGTCGTCGGGCATCTTTGCCCGACAAGGCGAAGCGGTTTGCACGACGGAGAGTCATCGTAAGCTCTGCCATGCCAGAAGACATATATGCGCTCAGTAGAACAAGTGGATCTGACCTTGTCAAAGCGCAAGGCTTGAGTGTAAGATTTAAGAGCCTCTTCATAGTTTTTCTGGCCCTTCTGGATGAGGCCAAAGACATGCCAGCATATGTGCGAGGTGAGATCGAGGCGGACGCCCTGCTTCACGAGTTCGAGGCCTTCCTCGCGCCGGCCGAGATGTGTGAGGATGAGTCCCTTCATGCACAAGGTTTCTACAATCTGGCTTGAGCACGCATAGCTAAAAGCGTGCATTGCAGGTGTGACGCACCACCATGATTAGGGAACTTTTTGAGGATAGCATCCGCAGTCTTGAGGCCCTTCTTCAGTTGCCTGTCTTCATAGTAGTGGAGGACCTCCTTGAAGAGACCAGACTCCTTCAATGGGAGCGCTCTACTCGGCAAAATCCCAGCAGGAGGCATGACTAGGTCGACGAGGAAAGCAAGGAATGCGAGTGCGTCGAGCCAGAAGGCGTATATGGCCGGGGCAGCCACACTTGCGCGCGGTGTATGCAGATCTGGGATTGTGGCGGAGAGCAAGAGCGCGCGGCTCAAACAAGCGACAACAACGCGCGACGCGCTTCTCGCGCACCCTCGCCTCCACACCGTCTGTTGTCTCCCTCTCCCTCTCCCTCCCCTACCGCCACGCCCGCCCCCCCTTTCCTCACCGCCCGCGATGGTTGCCACGACGCGCACCGCAGGGCAGCCCTCGCCCAAGAAACTCAGGTTCCGCGACAAGCTGGTCGGCAAGGGCCTTTCCACCGATACCCTCCTCAAGAAACTTAAGCAGCTTCATCAGGAGCTCGCAGAAATGGACCAGGAGCACGTCGATGTTAACTCCCTCGCCCCTGTCCGCAAGGATCTTGTTAGTACCTCCATCCTCCTCCACAAGGACCGCGGCGTCAAGGCCTACGCCGCATGTTGTCTCGCCGACCTTCTCAGGCTCTACGCTCCCGACGCGCCCTACACTCAGAACGAGCTTCGCGACATCTTTCAGTTCTTTTTTAGGCAGCTCTCTGCTGGTCTCAAGGGCGCGGACTCTGCTTACTACAACGAATACTTCCACCTACTCGAATCTCTCTCCACCGTCAAAAGCGTGGTTCTTGTCTGCGACCTCCCTCATGGCGACGAGCTCATGGTCGACATCTTCCGGGACTTTTTTGGTCTTGTGCGGCGCGACCTCGCAAAGAAGATTGAGCTCTTCATGGCTGATATCCTGATTGCGCTCATTGACGAATGCTCGAGTTTGCCCTCGGAAGTGCTCGAAGTAATCATGGCCCAATTCACAGACAAGAACGCGGTACGTCTCAGTCCTAACCACCTTCACCCCTGGTATCGCGTGCGAAGTGTACACAACACGGTTGTGACCCTCGGTCCAGCTCGTACACCGTGGTGAATTCCTGAGGCGAGGCCAAGGAGCGTAGTCGCCCACGCTTCAGTCCCCCTCTTCGCGTCTGTGTACCACCACGTGAACCCCACAGTCGCGCGGCTTGCACAGAGCTTGAAGTTACCTACAGACTTGCAACCGTCTCTGTGACCGCTGTTCATGTGACCTGTAACTGACGCCGTATCCGACAGAGGATGGACCAACCCTCCTATCGCCTTGCAGTCCAAGTCTGTAACGCAACCGCCGATAAACTCCAGCGGAATGTCTGTCAGTATTTCACAGACATCATCGTCGACCGCGCGCGTGAAGAAGAGTTTGACGAGGTTCAGACCGCGCACGACCTCATCCAGCAGCTCAACCGGGCGTGCCCCTCCCTCCTCCACAATGTCGTCCCCCAGCTCGAAGAAGAGCTCCGCGTCGAGCAACTTCAACTACGGCTGATGGCGACGCAGACACTTGGCGAGATGTTCGCGGACAAGCACGGGCAGGACCTCGTGCACAAGTATCCCAGCACGTGGGCGCACTGGCTGAAGAGGATGAACGACAAGAACATCGCCGTGCGCCAGGCGTGGGTCGAGAAGATGAAGGGCGTGCTGGTGAACCTACCGGACATGCGCAAGGAGACGGAGGAGGCGCTCCGGTTGAAGCTGCTCGACCCGGACGAGAAGATTCGCGCGGCGGTGTGCAAGCTGTTTGGGCAGCTGGACTACGAGACGGCGCTACACCACGTTTCGGTGGACCAGCTCAAGGCGGTTTCTGGTCGGGGACTGGATAAGAAGGTGGGTTATTGCCTGGAACGGAGGCCTGGTGCTAACGCTCTTGTTCGTGGCGTAGCAAAGCGTCCGAGTGGAAGCTTTCAACGCCATTGGTCGTTTGTACAGTCTCGCGTACCCTGAGATGTGGGTGTACAAATTTGCGGTTCAGTTGCATCCGCTGACATCTTTGCAGCGAAAACAACGATCCCGCGGCAATACAGCATTTCTCCTGGGTCCCCAGCAGCATTCTGCATAGTGCCTCGATAAACCGCGATGTAAAGTAGGTCCATGTCTTACAGCCATGCAGAGAGCGTCGCTCAACCTATACTTCAACAGGGCTCTCGTTGAGCAGACACTGGCGGACTACATACTTCCCCTCCCCACTCTTCCTGCCTCGTCCGCCTCCAAAGGGACCGAGACTGACGAGGTAGCGTGGACAGATCGTTTGCTGCTGACGATGCGCTATCTCGACGAGGCTGCCTTTGGGATTCTGTCTGGCCTCACGAATCTCAAGGTGGTGTGAGTAATTCCGGTTGAGGTTTGAGAATATCTCTGATTGCTACGCTTCAGCCGACCCACGATATACGAGAAATTCGTGACTGCGTGCATTGAGTACAATGTGAGCTGTCGCCCAGGATTTTGTGAACCCGCTGCGCATTCTGATGCCCGTGACTCTGTAGGGCGGCGTCATTGATGAGAATGAGGACGCTGTGACGGAAAAGCTCAACGTCGCGATCAAGGCTACTCTTCGTGAGTCGTCACTACTGCCGAGCAGTGCTGGACGGACTGATATCGTGGGGTTCAGCACAATTTCCCGAGCCCGGCAAGGCAGCAGAAGACCTGCAAGCGTTTGCGAAGCTCAACGAGGGCCGTCTATATAAGTTGCTTAAGACATGTATGGACGTCCAGACCGACCTGAAAGGTCTTATTAAGGCAAGGGTGAGTATCTCACCCAAGCTGCTCTATACGGGTTACTGGAACTTACGTGGCGCAGAACGAGTTCCTCCGCCGAGTCGAGCAATCCTCCTCCAACCTCCTCGGGACAATGACGATTTTCCTTCGTCGTGCCACCCTACACATCATCAACCAGTCATCAATTCCCACCCTTATCAAGCGTGTCCAGAAAGGCTCCGAGCCACCCTCCTCCGTTGCATACTCCCAAACGCAGTCGCAAAACATCCAGACGTTCTCCATGTACGCCGCAGGCGGAAGCGAGCCCGAGGGACGCACACAACAGGCAGCGCACGCGGCGCAGGTGTGGATGACTTTCGTGTCCAAGCACTGTCCTGCGCTATACAAGGCGCACATCGGCGAAATCTCGAAAGCGATCGCGGACGAGAGGAACACGAGGCTAGTCGAGGTGTGTTTGCATGCTCTCGCGGCGACGGCGATGTGGGACCCGAAGAGTGCGCCCAGCGATAAGTGCGTGTGGTTTGTGTACGGACTAGCGTGAATGAGGTAGCTGACGGTGCGTGTTTTGGTATCGTGATAGGCGTACGGTCGAACGAGTCTTGCGGTTTGTATTGGAAGCGAACCCGCGGCATGCAAAGTTCGCGGCAAGGCTAGTCGCATGCATGAGCGATTCGGAGAAGCTGTGCACACAGGTCGTGGAGGTGCGTGCAACTGGTTGAACTTGGAGTTGCACTGATGAGTTCTACGAAATGTAGTCGATAGCGGACAGTCTCGAGGAGGTCGAGCCAGACAAGCTCGTCGCGCACATTGCGGTGCTTGCTCAGTTGTCCCTCCGTGCACCCGATGCATTTGAGCAGAAGAGCGATGTTATCATGGCGTACCTTGTCAAACAGGTTCTCAGGTCGGCGCCGGATGTAGATGAGGACATGGTGAGCCATCTCTTGTAACGTCGTCAACTTTTTGCTAACATCGGTATAGATGGAGACCGATGAAGACTGGCTAGACGACGAGCGGATGCCTATTGACCTCCGTGCGAAGATCCTTGCGCTGAAGGTCTGCCGTAATCGCTGTATAGCGCACGCGGGATCGGAGACCGCACTCGACATCGCCCACCCCGTCATACGGATGTTCTCAACCGTGCTCCAGTATGAGGGTTCGTTCTCCGCAGATGCGAATGACCTGTAAGTAGTATTCACGGTGATCAGCTATGCGTGCGAGACGACATTGACACGACATGATATAGCCTGTTCATGCGATCGCGACTACGATTGCAGTCGGCCACGTCGCTGCTGCGCTTGTCTGCCATACCGAGTTATGCGCAGGAAGTGTCGAAATACTTCGTGCAGATAGCCCTCACTATCCAGGTGCGTTCTGTCCTGGAAGAGTCGTCGAAATCGCTCAGCTGAGTGTGTGCGCTATTACAGGATTCCGTATACCAAGTCCGCATGACGTTCCTCGACAAGCTCGTCGCATTGCTGTCCAAAGGAAAGATCCCCATTCAGTACAATATGGTTCCCTTCCTTGCCGTCCACGACCCTGAGGCGGATGTGAAGAGCAAGGCGCAGGCGTATGTTGTGTACGCCCTGCGTGCCATGCCCAAGCGTAAGATTTCAATCCTCGACTGTATGGTCCTGAGCTGACGTCTCACCAGCGGTACGACTGGAGCGCTTCGAACATTCCTTCATTCGGCTGCTGCACCTGCTGGCACACCATCCCGACTTTAGGATAGAGCAGGAGTACTTCCCGGATATTGCGAAGTATGTTTGTTGACCGCAGACTTCCCGTTGAAGACTTACAAGTCATATCCCAGATACATTCAGTTCTTCCTCGACCTTGTGGCGAACAGCGACAATATCGCGTTGCTATATCACATCGCGCTGAAGGCGAAGACGGTGCGCGATGCGGAGTCTCATTCGTACAGTGAGGTGAGCCTTCGTTCACAATGCGACCCTGTAGATATTATCGCTCATGACTCGTTGTAGAAACTGTACCAGTGCGCCGAGTTGGCTCAGCACGTCATCAAGGCCCACGCCAAGGCACATTCTTGGAACCTCGAGACGTGGCCAGGAAAGGTCCGGTTGCCACCTGACATCTTGAGACCGCTGCCCAGCTCCGAAGCCGTCAACGAGGTATGTTAACAAACATCTATAATCTGAATGCGTATTCAGCCCAACCTACACCCAGATCCTGAAGAGAGTGTATCTACCAGAGGAAGCTCTGACATGGCTGGACGAGAAGCAGTCAAAGCACACTACAGAGGCAAAGGTCAGCACGACTCAGACTTGCACGCGTCCATGTTCTGATTTGACCATATAGGAGAAGAAAGCTCGCGCTGCCCGCGCTCCAGCGGCGGCCAAGCGCAAAGCCGCAGCGCCCAAGGCCAACGGGTCTGCCAAGTGAGTGGATTGTGTCAGCTAATCTACACAATATTGATACCTAGTCGCAGGCGGGCGCGGACAGCAAAGAAGCGGAGAGCAGACGAGTCGGACGATGACGATGACGAACCGTCTGCCTCAGATGACGATGATGATGCTGGCGAGAAGCCTCCAACATCCCCCGAGAAGGACGTGGATGAGTCCGATGAAGAGTCGCAAGAGGAGGCTGAGGAAGAAAAGAAAGGGCGTCCAACGAGGACGAGGGTACGTTGTCGTGTAACTTAGCGCTCCCGTCCTAGTCTCATCGGTAATTTTAGGCGCAAGCAAAGAAGCAAGCTGCACGAGCCGCAAAACGTCAAGCCAAGTCAGCGGCAGCCGATGGCTGATCAGCGTTTCGATATTCCCTCCTTGTATCTTCCGTGGTCATATTCTGTCGCGTCCTTTTTATCTACGTTATGTGCCGCTCATCTCACGACATATGCTGTATCGTTGCTATCTTAACCTTGCTTGCTGTGATGCTGCATTGCTCTAGTATCTTTTCGGGACTGACTGACGTGCGAGTTGTTCTTACATGTATTCCTACCCAGTAATGACCTCTTCCCCATGATCAGTACGACATGCACATGTATACCGGAGCTCTCGTGATAGCCATATTTATCGAACTTCTCTTCTCATGTATGTAAGACACCTGCCAGGAAGTGTCAGCGGTGATCCTCTGATTGCTAGGTGTGTCTTTGAAAGCAGACGACACAGCTGATCGACGCAAGTTTTATACGTGCGAACGACCAATCATTGCTCTAGATTGTACAGGGATTAGAGATACCAAGAAACTGTGTTGGTAGTTGCGACGATGATGTATGCATGAGGGATGCCAATACCTGGAAGATGTGAGATACATGATATACGATGGATGTAAGTGTACGAATGTGCTATGTGCAAGTCGATAACAATAAGACAGCGAGAGTCCATGCTCTAGGCGGCGACGGCGCTCAACCGTAGTTCAGCTCACCTCCCGCACCTCCATATCCACCATGGCGTTGTCCTGGACCAGGACCACTTGGACGTCCTGAGGGTACCGGCAGAGGCGGTCGTGGGGGCAGGTGTGCGGGATGGAGCCTGCCGTATGCATGTGGCGGTGGCGGCAACGGCTGGCCCATGCCCATGCCCATAGGGATGATTTGTGGTGGGGGTTGACCAGGGCGTATGGATATAGGCGGGAGGGTGGGAGGTGGCGGAGGTTGGTATTGTCGAGGCGGTAGGTAGGGAAGCGCATGTGTTCCGTACATTGCAGGGGCCCCGGGCATCGGTGGCTGGGAGTAGTGGACTGGGGGTGGGCCATTTCTAAACGACTCACGCGGCGGGGGTGGGCGACCATGCATGCCCATGCCTGGAGGCATCGCAAGAGGTCTCGGAGGACCTTCTGCAGGAGGAACAGGTGGTCCGGCTGGAGCTTGGTGGCGTCTACCACGCTTGTCGAACTCATGGGATGCCTCGTAAGATGGCAAGCTGGGGGAAAAGTCAGAGATGGATTTGCCAGAGCAAACAGATATCTATTAGTCGACGATAGCGTAGAAGAGAAGGACACGCACGACTTGGGGTCTGCTGGAAGAGGATCTGTCCAAAAGTAGTCATGGTCTAACGCCTGTGAGGCCGTCAGCCGATCCCTTGGATTGCAGACCAACAGTCTGTCTAGGAGGTCAACAGTCTCGGGACCTATACTGCAAGCGCATGTTAGTCAAAGCACCTTTCACGCCAGCCGTGCGAAAACATACGACTCGTAGGTCTTCCGCAACCGCCGATAATGAACTTGAAACTTCTTCACGCCCTCACATCCAGGAAGTAGATCGTACTCGGGCCAGCTCTGTGCGGTCGGAGTACCACAAAGCTGCCAGATCTTGTCGAGCTGGTCGAGGTCCGACGCTCCAGGAAGGATTGGTTTCCGGAAGAACATCTCACCCAGTACGCAGCTGGAACGACGATTAGGCTCCCATACATACCATGGTGTAGCTCGACATTCAGATGACCACTTACCCTACGCCCCACATGTCTACCTCACCGCCATACTGTCGGGCACCAAGCAGCAGCTCGGGAGGTCGGTACCACCGAGTGACGACACAATTCGTGTACTTGCGCTCCTTGCCTCGAGCGTCTTCCTTCACCCGGACGATGCTAGGGTCGAATGCACGCGCAAGACCAAAGTCGGCGATCTTCAAGCATCCGTCGTTCGAGATGAGCAGGTTCGCAGCCTTCATGTCTCGGTGTAGGATGTGATTCTGCGAAAGTTGTAGGACCTGCTGAACTGGTGAAGCTGACGAAGAAAGCCTACCCGATGCATGTACTCAGTGCCCTCCAGCAACTGTTTCATATACAACTTGATTTGACTGGGAGACAGCTTCACGCGCTCATTTTCCAACAAACCAGCAAGGTCATGGTCCATGTACGGGAACACCATGTACACCGATAGCGGTGACTCCTTGCCATGACCTAACATAAAGGATGAGTAACTGCATAGACACGAAGGGCGTGAGGTTGAACGTGGTCCGAACGCACTTCGAACGACGAACATATCCAGGATGTCAACAATACATGGATGGCGCAAAGCCTTCAAAATCTTTATCTCACGTAAGGCTGTGACGGGCATGCCCTCTTTCTCATTGTGCATGAGAATGCGCTTCAAAGCGACCGTATGGCCCTTCTCGCGGTGTATGGCTTTATGCACCTCTCTACGGACATTGTCAGTGTGAGATCAAGATGTCACCTTTGCACACAAAGAATTCGATCAACAGGAATATCACGCACCCGAAGGTACCTTCACCGAGCTTGGTCATCACAGTATAGTCAGTCTGTTGTCCGCAGCCTACGAAGATGCGACCATAGGCTTCTCGCTCCTGCTCTCTGGTTCTATGTACGGCCTTCCGCTTCGGGCGACGCACTGCTGCAGGCCGACCCTCCTTCGTCTGCTGCTCCTGCGACACAGCGGACGCTGCAGCTCGAAGGTCTGACTCGAGTCTGGGAAGCGTAGGAGGAACTGGCTGCGGCGAATACCTGTCCAAGGGAGCTGGCGGCTTCGGGGGAAGCCTCGCTAAGTCTGGTGGCGCTGGGGGTGGAAGGTCGTCTGGTGGTGGCGGAGGCGCACTCTCCCGTTCAGCAACTTCGCCCTTCTCTGGGGTTGTCCGTGGAGAGATGGGGCGCGCCGGAGGGCTCATTGGCTGGGCCAGCGAAGGTGACCTGAGCGTGTATGTTTCTGCAACGTCTGGATGGTGTTGGTTAGAGACACTGTTACGCCCAGGTGGCTGCTTTCCCCAACCTTCACGGCCATCCCGGTACTCGTCATAAGTATCTCGAGCAGGATCTCGTCTGCGAGCCCAATGGTCATCTTCGTCTCGCCACCTATCCCGGTCATACACTGCGCGGTATGTTGCGGGGTCAGGGAGCACCGGTCGGGACGGCGGGAGCCGATGCTTCTCTTTAGCCGAGCTGGGGGTGAGAGGCGAGCGAGGTGACGATGGCGAGCGGGGAGTGGGCGGTGAGCGTGAACGGGAGCGCGAAGGACGCCGCCTGCCCAGATGACGCGGAGGGCTAGGTGACCGGTACGGTCTGCGTTCCGGTTCGCGAGGGTACGCTCGCGGTTCCGAGACGTAACTCTGAGACTCCCAGCGCGGACGGTCATACCTCTCTGGACCAGGTTCCCACCTGTCCGTACCCCAAGAGCGACCCGCTCGGTCATCAGCTCGTTCAGGGCGCGGAGGTAACCCAAACCGCCTCCGCGCGTCTTCTTCTCTGTGCCTCCGCTCGTCCTCTCGGTCGTACGCTCCTAACCTACCCATACCTGCGCCATTCGCTCCATGCTCCGGCGCAGCGGGTTTCTTTTTGAATGGGAAGGGAACCTTGCCAATGGGTTTCCCTGAAGCCTTAGGCGGGGATGGAGACCTTGGTGGAGGTGGAGGCGTTGCGTCGTCCAATTCGCCTTCTTCTGGAGACGACGTGGCCATTCGTTTGCTGGGGCGGCCGTCGTCCGAAGTCGCCGAAGCAGGTCTTTTGGGTAGAGAAGAGATCATGACGAACTCGACGTGGAGGACGTCGGAGTCGTCGAGTATAGGATGGAGTCAAGCGAGGATGCTTGACGCAGACGAGCAGCCACCCTGCAGCTACCCCGTATTATGTAAGCACAACCGAGCTCAATTCACGCCCATGTATGGTAACACTTTGTCCTCATCCAGATGAGCGCCACGACTGCCCGTATACGCACAAAGCGGTAGACGGCGCAAGTGCGGGCACGCCAGTGGTTAGACTGGTACGACAGCATTCTGACTGAAAAAAACAAGACATCAGGTTCCTCCTCCGCTTGGGGTGTCCTTGTACCAGAGATCCATGCCCGTTTTCTCCTCGTAGTGCTCTAATACTTTTAGAATATCTTCGAACTTGAGATACCTGTTCAAGCATAGCATCTGCCAGAGCAAGCAGTTCAGCCACCACGAGGATGCGTTTTGAAGCATAAGACTTACAATCAGGAAGGCCCTGAGGGCACGCCATCCGGCCGCTTGGTGTATGGTTTCCCAATATTTGTTGATGAACTTGATCAATCCGTCATAGTAATCATTCTTCGTGAAATCCTGCCTGTATATCTCATGTCAATGTTCGCGACTTCCGCGGCGCAACCGCTTGGCACGCACCTGTTCATGATGATATATCTGTTCCAGAGCGCCAGCATAACCTTGTCTTCGTCGCGGACGTCCTCCATCTCGAACAACTCCTCCTCCCGGTGAACGATCTCCCAGGCCATGATGCCGAACTTCTCGTCCGTAGGAAGCGTGTTCAGCAAATCAAAGATCCGCGGGCCCCCGACGCGGCACGAGTACACCTCCTCCTGCCCATCAGCCGTCGTCTGGGGTAAGTATGGATACTGCGCAGCCGGACCTTGGGGGTCGTCCGGCGGCGGAGGGCTAGGGTAGCGAGCCGGGAGCGAGCCTCGATAGGACCTTCTAGGTGCCGTCGCAAGACTAGGCCTTCCCGTCATGGGCTTTAGCGAGATTCGACGTTTGATCGGCGTCGTAGGTGTCGGCTTGATGTCCTCCGACTCTGGCTCTGTAGAGAGGGGTAGCGGAGTGACGGATGTACTACCTTCGTCGTCGCTTTCAGGCAGGAATAGTAGCGCGGGCATTGGTAGCGGCTCTGAATTCTTGACTCGTTTACTGGAGACAACGCTCAGTCTCGCACGTGAATAACATCTGTTCGTTTCATCCTGCTTTACCTGTCTGAAGTGTGCCGAGGGAACCCAACGTCATCCTCGACCGGAACATCCTCTCTCTCGTCTTCGCTTCCCTCCTCGTTGCCCTCGGAAGTATCGTCTTCAAGCTCGTCGACGTCGGGGAGGAAGAGAGACAGTTTCCAACCTTTCTCCTGTATGTCGGCCAGCTATTAGTAAATGGTACGATCTCGATGATGTGAAATCGCTCACTTCCTGGCCTTTCAGTTCATCCCAGGTTACTTTCGTTTCGGCATGGTCTTTTTCCAGATGATACACGAGCATGGCCCTGTTCCTGAAGGGTTTATGCAGCCCACACATCGGGCAAGCCCACTCCGTCAAAATGCCAACGAATTCCTGGTATTTGGGCTCCACGATCACTACATCCGAATCGTCCGACTCGCTCTCCTGAATGGCGTATCGGTAAATGACTTCTACTGGATGTTTAGGGAACTCCTCTGGGCCGATTGGGATCCGGAACGTCCGGCACCGAGACTCAAACCCCATCCGAAGGTTCCGCAGGAGAAAAGGAAGTTTCCGATACTGCTGCAGCCGGGAAGTGGTCAGAGTCAACGCAGCAAACACATCCAACAATTCGTGGATATCCGAGGAAGACGAGGAATCCGTCAGCTCTATGACATCTTCGCGGTTGTCGTCGCTCTCGTCCGATAGAAGCTCTAAAACGTCCCGCTTGCGCGCTCTCTTGCCCGCAGCTAGCGCTGTTCCCGGACTATCGTCGAGATCGAGCTTTCTCGCGGCTTTGGTAAGCTTGCGCAGGGGGTTCGTCTTACGCGCGGCGTTTATGCCGCGTCTAGCGATGAACACCGTTTTTCGACCCAGTGCAGGGCGCGCCCTTTGAGTTGATATATGGTGAGCTTGAAGTGAATCGCATATCACGACCTAGCAAAACTCACGGAACGGATACTTCGTCCTCGTCCTCCGACAGCGAGACCACCTCTTTCTCGGATTCGCTCTCACTACTTCCATACACTAACTTTCCTCTCCGTCCGACATGGACGCGCGCATCGGGAAATGCATCCCCACCAACAGCGCGGACACCAGCCACCGGCCCTCCCACAGGTGCTTTCCGAGGAGACTGCCCAACGCGGCGCTGCACCGACATCGACGCGAGCGACTTCCTGGGGGCGCTTCGCGAGCCCAGCGAGTAATCCCCTTCTTCCTGCCTGGAGCGTTTCTCCCGCTCCTCTTGCGCGGCGAGATGGGGCGGGGGGATCGGAACGGACTTCATGGGCCGCGAGCTGACTTGCAAAAGCGGAGCGATGTAGGGGAACGAGGACTGTGGTCTCTTTCCTGCTGCGGTATTGGAGGGTACGTGTGCCGTTTTGCGCAAACTCTGGCGGTGGCGCTCTCCGACGATCTCCTCCGAACTCGCCATTCTTGCTGCAGCGGCACGAGATGCGCTGCTGGATTGCTTAGCGATCCGGACTGCCATGTCCGGCCTCTGGTGACGGCGGGCAATCTCATCCTGTCTTCACGTTGGCATCAGTTGCGCTGCACAAGCCAAGAGTCGACTGTGACAAACCTTTCTGCCTCCTCAGCCTGTAGACGGGCAAATGCTTCAGCAGCACGGTTTCTCACGGGCACAGCCCTGCTCCCTGACTTGCGGGCAGCACTCGAGCGCTCTGGGGAGGAGTCATCGGTGGCTCGACTTCTCGAGTGGGTTTGTGCATCTGCGACGCGGCGGGGTCGGGAAGGGCCCGCCTGAGGTTGGGACTCATAGTGGCGGCGATTTGGTTGCATGTTCCCTGCAGTGGTCTTGGGCAGATATAGCGTTGTAGTCACCCGCGATCAGACTGACAGCACTTGCAGTAGCGAACTGTGAAGGATGTACACTGTCTGCTTGACCTTCTCTTCCGGAGTGGATGTCGCGGTTCGGACAGCAGACGAACGTGCGTTATCTAGCGTTATTTGACAGTGTTAGGATCCCAAGCCCTTGGGCAACAGACGCAAACATACTAGCGCTGTATCGGGCAGATTTGATAGCCGAAAGGCGCGTTCAGTGCCACGAGAACATAGCACTGGGCGCGAGTCGGTCGACTGCGCATCTCTGTCCGTCTCTTCCTATCCTCCCGTCGGCACGATGGGCAAACCAGCGGACAGAAGCATCGGTGAGTAGACCGCCTAAGTGCCGAACTCTATTCCTCCACCGAACTCTATTGTCCCGCTATCCCTATCTATCACATCGGGAAGGTAGTGCTGATCATGGGAATGCTTGGATTGCGCTCCCTGTGCTTCCTATCGCGCAGACTACAGCTACTTCGGCGGCGCGGACTCACTCGACGAGGGCCGCTCTCCACGCCGCACGGAGGTGCCCAGCCCAACCGAGAAGGACGATGGGAAGCACTTCACGGGTCCACCCCAGGACCCGTCAGACTTCCTCTGGCTCATGACGGAGGAGCCGCATAGGTCACGGAGGATGGCAATTATGAAAGCCCACCCAGAAGTGCGTATCTCCCGGGTCCTCTATGCTTTACTCCGGTTCTTCTTTCTCTGCCTCAACACGCGTCCATTCATGTGGAAGACCCGCGCGAGTACTCACCACACCACCTTAGGTAACGAAGCTCATGGGTCATGAGCCCCTTACCAAATGGGTCGTTCTAGGTGTCGTATCCTTGCAAATTGCGCTTGCTATCCTCCTCCGTCATACCCGTCCTCTCTCCCCCCTCTTCATCCTCACGGCATATGTCATTGGTGGTACGGCAAATCATAATCTGTTCCTCGCTATACATGAGATCACGCACAACCTCGCGTTCCGGAGGCCAAACCTGAACAAGGCGCTTGCCGTGTTTGCAAACCTACCGATTGGTATCCCGTACTCGGCTGCGTTCAAGGTGAGCTGTCCTTCACACACCGTGGTACGGACACTCCATTGAGTTGGACCGATCGGTCAGAGGTATCACATCGAACACCACAAGTTCCTCGGCGAGGATGGTATTGACACCGACCTCCCAACCAACCTTGAACTTATCTGCCTGAACAATGTGCTAGGGAAGGTCTTCTTTGCGTACGTTCGCACCGGTAGTTGACTGATCTGGTGGCTCACGTTTTCTTGTGTGATAGGACTTTCCAAATCCTTTTCTACGCCCTCCGCCCGGGCTTCGTGCGCACTCAGGCATTCACCCAGTGGCATTTCTTCAATCTAGTCACCGAGCTCCTCTTTGACTACGTCCTCGTGAAGGCATTCGGGGTCCGCCCGCTCATTTACCTCCTCGCGTCAAGCTTCTTCGCTGGAAGCCTGCACCCGCTCGCAGGACACTTCATTGCGGAACATTACGTATGGGATGGTCTGCAGCAAGAGACGTACTCCTACTACGGTCCCCTGAACGTTCTTGCTTATAATGTACGTTGTCTTGCTTTGCGTCCCAATTAAAGGCTGACCGACGGACGTATCACAGGTTGGCTACCATAACGAGCACCACGACTTCCCCTCAGTCGCATGGACCCAACTACCAGCGCTTAGAGCGCTCGCGCCCGAGTTCTACGACACGATCCCCTCACATCCTTCCTGGCCCATGGTCCTCGTCAATTTCATCCGCGATCCTGAGGTCGGCATCTTTGCACGCGTCAAGCGCAAGCGCAAGGACCGCGGCGAGGTGCTCAGCGATGGGCAAACAACTCCTCCCGCCGACTCCTCGAAGTCAGGCTAGGGTGGTTTGAACTGTAGAGTCTAGAGTCTAGGGAAGTCCACACGCATCTGGATGGCTCCTAGTGCACAGGCGTGCTCAATGTGTAGACTTAGAAGCGTGTCACGGGCGCATGGTGTTTTGGGCCGTATTTATTAACATTGACATCCCTTCCTTGCTGTTCGCTACGCTGTTGGCAAGCGTCAGCCACTAGAATGTCGTGGTGAGCCCTCCTATGCTCCCACTCGCACTGAGGCCTTCTCACAAGAACTCCATCAGCCGCACTACCTGTTCCATCCTCGACCATATCTTCTGGAGACAGACCAAACCTCGTGGCTCGCAACCGTGCAGTTCCATGGATACTTTCTCACGCTCTTCTCTGCCACCGCACTCGGGGCATGATGACACGCTGACAGCGACGGCTTGTCGCATGGCCCTCATCCTCGCGGCTGTCTAGCTCGGACGGGAGAACGCGTGACAAGCATAGGGCCTGCCGTAATACCCCGTGGCTCGTTGAACAAGAGCCAGGCGTCCGCAAGGGTCCAGTCAACGGGCCATAAGGTGAGTCTTCCTGACAGGGTCTCCACTTGGATCTTGGGCGAGAGGGACGGGACCGTGCCGTGACCCATGCTGCCCCGTAGTTACAGCGTTGCGTCCCGCCGAAACATTATGCCTCAGAGTCTGCGTGAGAATGCAGCGGGACGGTCGTTCGCTCGCGGCACCGCCTCGTCTGGAACTGAGTTTCGCAGAACGTGAGCACCCTGAGTCGTCTGTTCGGGAAGGCTAGTTCCTGCTCGGAGTGGATAATCCACTGACATACTCGCTCTGTGGCCAGATCGCAGCCCTATCATACGAGAACGGAGCGAAACTCCGCTTATCCCGAATGTTCGATGCTGCCTCGACGTGTGCAGCTTGCTGATGCTAGCTTCGGAGACATTCTGGAAAATAACAGACCAGCAAAGACTGTTGGGATGCAGGAAGACATTTGCCCATAGCTGTCTCGTCCCCTGACAACTATGGTGCAGTTCACTTGGTCACCACCAATGTTGTACGCAGTTAGGCGCGCGCTCAAGTGTCACCTGACTTGGCCTTAGGTTAGGTTCAACGGCCTCACAACACCAATACAGCCTGTTGTGTATCACTGCGACCTTAGACTTATTGATTATGTTCAGCAGTGGTGAAGTGCTCCTCCTGAAAGCACTAAAGCTAGTATACCTTGGCATCATCTCATTGGTCAACATGCCAGAGGCTCTGCGGTCGAGCTGATCCAACAAGGGAGTGGCCGACACAGGCAACGGGCCTCTCTTTACATTATGTAATAAGATGATTACCTCTTTAGTATATAGACGCCCATATCACGTGCTGCGGCCTTACTGGTGAGGTCACCTTCGCCAGTTTTGACCCAATTGAGAATCGCTTTTGGGGATTAGTTCCCCTATTCAAATCCTTGCAAATGGCAAATAACGGAAGCGTTTCGTGACAATCTGATGAAGTTACATACCGGCGCTTAACTGCGTACAAAAGTGGTGGTCTCTAAGTGAACTGCACCATACACCGTCCCGTCTAGTACCGTAACGCCTTTGTCAACTCAATCCTGTGCAGACAAGGATATTGGCATTGCGTTAGAGCAGGATAATGACGAGTGCGGGATTGACCGCGATGTCGACGCCGAGGAACTCGCCATGGACCGACGGGCGGCACTCGTAAGGTCATATCAGCGGTACTTGCGACGCGTGCGCACAACGGAACCAGCAGAAGTCAGGACGACACTCGAGATCTCCCTACACTGGCAGTGAGTTGCTCTGGCAGCCGTCATAATTGAGGACATGCCATGCGAAACCACCGCACAGGGTCTCTTTTATGACCTGCGTGCTGAGCGCGAGACTTACATGAACGTTCACCGTGGCCCGAGTGTAACGCGCTACATTTCTCATCGTCCAGGCACTCTCGGTGCTTCCCCGTCACTACGTCCCAATGTCAGGTTGATGCCATTGTGCAGTATGTTCCTAGACTTGTTCTGTTGGCGACACTAGCCGCGTGTGCTGCGTAGAGACTACAACGAGGTGCGCGGACCTGAGGATTATTCGCCCTTGCAGGTCTGCAAACCTCCCTTGCCCGTCTCAGACCTCCCTCTCCTCTGACACACGTGATACGGTCAGGCTACTCGAGAATAATTGAACTGTCGGCGCCATGCATCACAATGCACGTGCTACTGTGACATGTGCTGACGGGTCAGGCGTCTGTGCCCCGACAGTACTGCTAGCTGTCAACCCCATCTCCTGCCTTCTGCGATGGCCATACGCATCACTTACACGCTTCCCATTGTCTGCACAGGATATGAGCTCACAGATGCGCTACGGAGGTACCTTGAAGTCGGCCACGGTGTGGACTTCGACAGAGTGAAAGCTGTCACCATAGAGCAGGATAAGGAACTGTGTGGGGACGAATACAACGAAGCTGACGAGGAGGCACTTGCCCCGGAACGAGAAGCAGTAGTTGTGGACTCGTTCCAAAAGTACTTCAGTCGGGTGCGCAGGGGGCGCGCCAGCGGAGGTCAGAAAGGCACTCGAGATCCCATACAGTAAGCTACCGGAAGTGCTCTTGCTCGGCGTGATCTGACCTTTGTTCGCCCATATCACACCGTGCAGGTTATAGCAAGTGGATAGATGGCGCGCCGAAGATATACATGTTCGTTCCGACGGGAGCTTACATCCGCGATGGCCGCACATCGGGCGTGCTCAAGACTCCTCGCGACGAGGATCTGAAGGTTATTCAGGCGTTCATCGACGCCGCGAACGGCCTGTTGCCGGAGGCGGTGCGTGACGAGGCCAGCTTCAAACTTGACGATGTGCATGTTGAGGTTCACACCCCGGGGGATCTTTTGCAACCTGCTTACAAACGTGACGAGCGGAAGGTTTGTGAGATCTTGCTGCAGCCTGATCATATCGCGCCGTGCTCTTCATCGTCAGAGCTGACTGCTTCTCAGGAACTCCTACCTCCACGTCACTTGCGGCCCCTTTTCAATTACCCTGAGTAGATTGTCCATTATCGCGACGTTGCTATTGTACCGTATGCCATGAATGATCTGATATTCTTGTCTTCGCGGAACTACAAGCATTGTACGCTAGCCAGGCATCAATGTTGGGACTGGTGAATAAAGTCGAACCACACTGAGGCGCAGTGCCACGACTGCGTACCATGACAACATATCGCCTGCCTACAGCGGTGATGAACGTGAGGTTCGTGGACGTTCGCTGCCAATGGGCCATAGCTGGTCGACGAATTGACCAATTACTTGGTTGTGGCTGCAGGAGCTGTACGACCCTCCCCGTCATCTGCTGGCTTGGTTCGCGCCGTCCCAGTGAAGGACTGGCACTATCATCTACCTCGCTGTATCGTAGATAGTACTCGGCGGAGTCTGTTCGTTGTTGGTTAATTTGAGGGTCAGCGTCAGCTCAGAGTGGTGTTGATGCAGGAAAAACACACCATGGACCGAGCGAGCAACGCCGATCGTGATGTTGTACCCGGGCCTGCAATCCTTTCGACGGACGGACGGGTCAGCCGCTCTCGACCCAGTCTCGGAACTTGAACAATCAGTCAGTCGGACGGCGCGTAGTATGACTTACGGCACGCTGGATCACAATTCACGTGTTGTGACATGGGCTGTCCACGCATCGGGCGCTTGTGTTGTATCCTTCAAGTTCACTGCGAGAGACGGCGACGTCCAAGTCTCAGCCCAGCATGGCACTGCCGCCCGGATTGTCCTACTATGATGGCCCTCTCGTCGAGACGGCCAACGGCGGTGTCTCGGACTGGGTAGAGTACAAAAACGTCAAGGCCTACACGAACGCGTTCGTCATTGTGGACGATACCAAGGTCAGCTTACGTTCTTTGCGCAGTCATTATTCTGTCTTCTAATTTTCAACTTCTATCAATTGGTCCGTGTATCATCAAATCACATGTGCAGAAGGTTCTTCTCGGCTTGAAGAAGAGAGGCTTCGGTAGAGGACTGTGCGTCGCCCCCTTCGCATCCTATACACCCGTTGGTCACCGACTCATGACAGCGTCCTCTAGGTGGAACGGCTTTGGCGGCAAGGTCGATCTGGGGGAGACTCCCTTGCAGGCGGCCGTTCGCGAACTTGAGGTACTTGCCGCCGTCGTCCACGTTTGATCTCACTAGCGTTCTCACAGCTGGTCTCTGCAGGAGGAGGCGGGTATCACAGCCCCGCTGGAGCAGTGCGGCACGCTCTTCTTCGCCGTCGACGGAGTCGAGGCCGCGTTCAACATCGACGTCTTTCGCGCGCACGAGTACACCGGGACGATCACTGAGTTTGTCGCCGTCTCCCCGTTGCTCCCCTCGCTCTGTTAACCAAGAGCTTGGCGATTCTAGATCGGACGAGATGCGTCCGCGATGGTTCTCCATACAGGGCGACCTGCTCCCGCCAAGCAAGCCTTCAGCGACACTAGATCGCGCTCCACAAGAGGGTATCGCAGCGCTCCCCCCGATCCCGCTCGAGCAGATGTGGGCTGACGACGAGTTCTGGTTGCCGTTGATGTTTGCCCGGCGGTACTTCGTCGGCCGGGCGGACTTCAGCGCGGACAACAAGATGTTGAAGTGGTGGTTTGGAGCCGCGCCGCCGCCATCCTGAGTTGTTTGCACGTACGCCCGGCACTCTGTCACTCGGACTCCTTCATTCATTGCGGTTATCACTCACCCACATGTCCTTTCAGATCTCCGAGTACGAAACGGAGACTCCTCATGTCAGGCTGGGTACCCAGGTTGCTTTGCCACGGAGTGCTGTCAATCAATGATTGTAAAAGGTGGTTATCCTACCCTCGGAATAGAATCTGTACCGCCCTCAGTTGTATTCGTTGCCACAGTAAGACATCATTGGGTCGTACCCGGGTCGGTCTTGGGGAGCCTCCGGGAAACCGTCATCGAGCGAAAGGTAGGCGTTTGGCACGTTTTTACTATTGCTTGCATTGTGCTGTTGTGCTGACTCGTGCATCATCCTATGGCGCTGGCGCGGCTGCCTATCTGCGAATCCCTGGGTGTGAGACCTTTGTGCTATCAGTAAATGGCAAAGTCTCGATGGTGAAGGTAACGAACCCAGTCCTATTCACGCCAGAGCGAGCGTCTATCATAGGATTCAAACCACTTCCCAGACGACATGGCTTGAAAGTTGTAGTGGGACTGCTTAACTTGCAGCCGCATATACACCTAAGCGAAACAGCCATGCGCCACTGGAGGATAGCACGGATCGACGGAGTTCCATTCCTGTGTGATACCATCTCCACAATCTATTGAGTCATGATTGTAAAGGAGTCATGTTAGCTCTTCAGCGCCACCAAAGAGGACGCCTGCAAGCAGACATGGAATAAATACAAGCTGACCATCGCTCGTCCATACCGGAGCGAACCTGCTAGCAACCGAGGATGTCGTACGTCAACAACTACACCCCGCAACCCGAGCCCACAGTGCCCGATTCCGAGCTCTACGGCCCCGACCCATACGACATCAACTTCGCCTGGCCCCTCCACCCGCAGTCCCTCCAGACCCCGCGCCTCAAGCTCGTCCCCTTCGTCCCGCGCGAGCACGCCGCGACCTACTGGGCTTCCGTCAAAGACCACCTCCCCACGCTCTTCCGCTACTACCCCTTCCGCCCGCGCACGCTCCCCGAGTTCCTCGCCTGGCTCGAGCTCGCGTGCCGCCGCAACCCCTTCCAGACCTTCCTCGCCGTCCTCGACACCACCCGGCCCGACCCCGCGCACCCCGCGTGGGGCGGCAGCCTCGCGGGCGCGCTCGCGCTCTGCAACACCGCCCCGGGCAACCTGAGCACCGAGCACGGCTACCTCGTCGTGTTCCCGGAGTTCCAGCACACGCACGTCGCGAAGGAGATGGTCGCGCTCGTGCTGCGCTACCTGCTCGCGCTCCCGGGCGCGTCGCCCCCCGGGCTCGGGTTCCGCCGCGTGCAGTGGTGCGCGCACCCGGGGAACGCGCCGTCCATCGGGCTCGCGGAGCGGATGGGGTTCAGGCGCGAGGGCACGCTGCGGTGGCTGTGGGTCCTCCCGGAGCATCTGGCGGAGGCGGGCGAGGAGTGCACCCGGGAGGACGCGTTTGCGGGGAGGCCGGGGAGGCACACGGCGGTGCTGTCTGTGTGCTGGGACGATTGGGAGGGGGGTGTGAACGAGAAGGTCGAGGCGTTCCTCGCCCAGTGATTCCGCTCACAACAACAATTCGTTGTAGCCCTGAACTCTGGTGCCGTACGACTATCACCCGCCTTCCGCCAGTCTCCGGATGTCTTGAGAATGGAGCGCGTGCGGATGGACGACGCCTACACGGCGTAGCTCTTGCATGCCGGAGGCGGCCACCAGCACAACCATCCAGAAGTTGACAGCACTCAACCACCGAAGTACTGATAGTCTGCGTTTGATTCGATCTTCATATACAACGTACAAGGTCTCAGTAAACTTGGAATAAAGTACTAACAACTCAACATACGGACGCCACTGACGGCGGGGCATACGCACACAAAGCAATATACTGTGGTCTACAAGAATATACCCGACATGAGACCCACCCGTCACAGCAAACGGGTGAGGCCTAGGAATCCGAGTCCATCAAACCAAGTGGACAAAGAAACGTCTAGTCAAGTGCGCGCCCCCCTCTCCGGCACGCCCGCTCGAAATCCACAAGCATATCCACGACCCGATCCCGTGCATCTTCAAGAGCTGCGCCGAGCTCGGGATCTTCCAGCCGGCCATCCGCCCCGCTCTCAAACGCAGGCGAGCCTAACGCCGTGCGAAGCGCCATGTGCAGCTGCGCGTTGCGTCTACTCGGCGACGGAGGCGGGCTGAGGACGAAAGCGGGCGCCCTGCCAGCGGACACCGCGCACGCCGGGATCGTGGAAGGGAAGACGCGGCGGTAGATGAGCGTTGCGGTGAGGAGGGCGCGGATCTCGGCCTCGTCCTGGCTCGCGAGGTCCTGGTCGTCCTCGCAGTCCGCGTCGACGTCGGGATTGCGAGCGTGTGCGTGTGCGTGCCGGGGCAAGGGGACGAGCGATTCCTCCTGCGAGGAGAAGCCGGTGTCCCAGATGCGCTCAAGGAGCACGGCGAGCTCCGCGGTGCGGCCACCTATGGATTTGCCGGCCTCGACGGTCTCCTTGCGCTCCTGTTCCTCCTTGTAGTCTTTGTCTGCATCATAAACATACATAGGCTCGTCGCACTCGTCATCGCTGTCGTACGCAGGGCCGGCGCGGCGTGCCTCGACCTCGGCACGGACTACAGTGCGCACGAAGAGCGATGCAGCGTGCTTCCGGAGGCGTTCGCGGATAAGGATGGCTGCGAGAATACCGAGCGGAGTGCGCTTCTCGCAAGCCGTGCAGCGACCCTTGCGCTCAAACTCGTGCCAACTGCGCCATTTGGAGAGCCAATCCGCAGCGCCTTCGACACTCATGTTGTTCAACACAATTTTCTCGTGTGCGCGGAGAACCTCGCGTTGACGAGCACGCTCCCATAGCTCGGTAGCTTTGGAGCTGGACACGGGATGAATTATGAGGGCGAGGGTGGAGAGGTCTGTGGTGGACGCTGCGAATGTCGAAATGTGCCATGACATGCACCAGAAGGTCTGGAGGCGCGTCATGTTTCCAACAGAGCCTAGAGAACGTATTAGTATGATGCATTCGCAAAAAAGACAGAAGACTAACCATCGAATGCAATAAGCTCGCCCAAGCGCACCCAAGCGCGCTGTTCGAGCTGGTTCAACTCGATGCCGCGATCCCTCCGAGCAGCCTTGATGACGCTCTGAAGAAGGCCGATGACGCCGGTCGAGATACCAAGGGCAGAGCGCAACCGAGCAGGCTCGTCCACAGAGCCGCGAGTCTCAGGTGAGAGCACATCGACGAGCACGGACCGAGCGAGCGCGTTACGCTTAGCGGGAGAACCCGAGGTCAAAGTGGTGGGAAAAGGTGTGTCGGAATGCGACCGGGAGAAGACTGAAGCGACCTTGGAAAGGAGGTTGGTCCGACGAATAGTGCCGGATAGCCAAGGGACGAGGACGTAGAAAAAGACAAGAGTAGACACGAGCAGGTGAGCAGCTTGGATAGCCTCGTGCACGCCGTAGCGAGCAGAGGTACCGACTGGGACATGAGTCGCTGTGGGTTGGTGCGGGGTCAGGACAGCGCCGTGGTGAGTGTGTTCGTAAGAGGCGGCGGGAGAGCGATGCGAGGACGTCAACGGAGAGTTGAAGACCGAGAAGAATGCGAAGACAGCCAGGAGATACTGTTGTGATGTGGACTGAGGGGGTTGCTGCATGGTCCGCTCGGGCTTGACCTGCATGAACGCGTCGTGCATGACCTGCTCAACGGGGAAGATGGGCTGCACAGCTGTCGGGGCGGGCGTCACGGCGGCAGACACATCAGTGGAAACCGGTGTGGGAGGCAAGGGGATCTTGCGAGGGCGACCACGCTTGCGCTTCTCCGGGACTGCCCCAGGGACACTAGGTACTGGAGGAGGCGGTGGGGGCCTGTAAGGCTTCTCCTTCTTGGCTGGCTTCGCAAGCTTGGCCTTCTTGCGAGTACGACCCTCCTCATCTTCACCATCGCTGTCATCTCCATCACCCTCGTCGTCATCGCTTGCGCCTGCAGCATCATCATCCTCAATCTCATCCTTCTCCTCACCGCCAAACCGTTCTCTCCACTCCCTCTCCCACTCCTTCAACAAGGCAGGTCCACCAACAAGGCCATTGATGAGGGACTTCAGACCGTCCTGCTCGCGCTTCAAACGTGCTTCGCGCTTCTTGAGTACCCTGACGGCGATAGAGCGCTTAAGTGATTCCGCGCATTACCCAAAAGTGGATTGCGACCAACCTGATGTACTCCGTGGCTTTACCCAGGATGTTAGCCTTGCTCATTTTGCGAGCAACCTTCACACCATCGACAAATCCCCGTGTGTCGACGACGTCATTCCATGGGGTGGGCTGACCCGCTTTGGCCTCGAGGACCCGGAGGGCAGGGACGGACTGCTTCAAACCGGTAATGCGGGCATTCAGGTTCGTCCGGTAACGCCGCTCTATCGTCGTATGGCTAGTCTTCGGCCGGCCGATGATGGTCTGGGTGGGACCAGTGGATGGAATCTCCGTAACAGGTGACGGGGCGTGTTCGGAGACAGGCGTGGAGGACGGCGGTGGAGAGGACGAGGACGATGATGATGGCGAAGCCGCCTGCTCGGGTGGAGGGGGTGACGGTTTCATGGTCCGCTTCGGCGCCGGTGCGGGCGTAGGACTCTGCTTTAGGCGTGGAATGGGGAGCTTCGCCTGTCCTCCTGCAGCCGCGAGCTGTTGGACCTGAGCGCTTACAGGCACAGCGAGAGTTACGCCGGCCATTTGGCGAACGCGCTGAGCAAGCTCGGACGCCGGGTCGTTCAAGTTGACATCTGGTGGTGAACTTGAAACGGCGTGAGTGGGCTCCATGATGGGGGAGAGCGAGGCACCGGAGGAAGAAGAGGAAGAAGTGACGCTGAGTCTCCGACCGGTACCGGGTTCAATATGTGAGTGCGGCATGCCGAAGTCTTCCCCGGAGAAGAGCATGTTGTTGTGCACCATCTCGTTCGAAAGGAGGAACGAAGACTCGCTAGGGGGCAGCGTGAAGGCCGACTGTTCGAATATAGTCGTGAAGTGGAGGGCACTAGGGTCGACGGCCATGTTAGGGTCGAAGTCGAGGTCCATGGGGAATGAGAAGTTAAAGTCAGAGGTCGTCTCAAACTTCTGCTCCTGGCCTGTGCTCTCCCACGACGACAGTTGAGACCAGTCTGGCTGTCCATTGGAGTCGAAGGGCGAAGAGGATTCGCCGTTCTGGGCGTGCGCCTGAGCCTGGGCCGCCATAGTCTGCAAAAGGAATTCGAGCGTCTCGCTGGGATCCGACTTAAGCTCCGAGTTGGGAGTAGTCGGTGAAGGGGAGTTGGTAGACGACGAGCTCGAGCTCTCTGACGGGGGCGGGGTAGACATAGTGGCAGGAGGCAAAGGGGTACTCTTGTACGACGACCCGTTCTGCGCGCGGGTTGGGGCAGACGCTGGCACATCGGACCACTTTCCCCTTTTCCCTTTTCGGGCTTCTCACCGGCTGGCGGAGCGCCCGTTCCCACTCCCCAATATGCTGTGCTTCCATTCCGCCTCTGGTACCTCTGCGTTCATTCCGCCGACTGGTCCATTCGTTCGCGGACGTTTTGTGTCAGACTGACCTTCTTCGCAATCTTAGACACCACGAGATACTGTCGCATTGTCTTCTCTCGAGGTCACAAGCGAATACTGCCAAGTTGAAATGAACCGCCCGATGTCGTACTTCGCTATCTTCGTGTGAAACCGCGGCGTCCATTTCCTCGCCCACAGCGAGCTAATTTCCAAGCACGCAGCGAGAGTGGCTAAATCAACTCAGCAGCGCTGCGTCCGACATGTAGAGCTTAGTGGAGCATCACCCGCAACACGTTGCTATCACCGCTCTCGAAGAGCTGAATACAATGGCCTCGGCGAGTGTGGATTGCTTTACTCACTTTCATGTACTAATCGAAATTTGTTCACTCAGTGATCACCGAGCTTCAGCTATCTCGAGTTTCAAATGTCGTTATGAATCCCTACATCGAACAATAACGAGTAACACTCACCGTGGCTGCCTACATTCCACCTCGATCAACGGGGGTCCTTTCCGTCGAAGCCGGCGTGGCTGCAGTCCGGACTGTCGGTTTGTAACCTTAGTGCAGTTGAACCTACCCCGCGTGCGATTGTGCCCAGTGACGCGTCAGATGAAGCAGGAGCTTATGACCAACTCCCCTCGATCGATTACGATCATCGTAAGCAACAGCCGCAGAACCCCTCAGGATCTGTCAATGTCGTACGCTACGGCGATACGCACAACCTACATGCATACTTTGATTGATGCCCTTCCAATTCCGAGTCTTTGTCCGATAAAGGTTGAGTGTAGCACCTCTACTCGCGACGGCCCACTCGGGGTTCAACGTCGTCTGATACTATTTCGCAACCAAGCACTGCAACAGAACCGCTGTCGAGCAAGTCGCGTTCTCGCCTAAATGCGGGTTTCATCTTCATGATCCAGTACGCCAACTACGCCCAGGATCGGACGAAGTATGGCTCCACCCATCCAAGTCCGCACACGCGACTCGGGTTTATCCATTGTCCTACCGCCGTTACGAGGGGCTAGCGCACAAGCGTTCAGATAACGACATGGAGATGCGGCGGTTACACGTAGAGAGCAGTACAAAAACAGCAGGAGTACAATTCTGATTTACATACAAGCACGCGGCCCGTAGCGCTCCCGTAAGATACATCGCAGTCAGAGCGGGGGAGAGACCCCAAGAACGTCAGAACACGAGACCGCTAGGCACTAGATACGCCGGAGATACACCATACAGATTGGAAAGATATCCAAGAAAAACGCAACGATAGCACCAGACGAGATCAGAGACACAGGCGGCCGACGGTGGCCAACACTCCAACTGCCCTTCTCGACATCGATCCTCGCCAATCTTCTAGACGACCTCCACAAAGTTTGCAGGGAAGACGCCCTCGCGTCCCTCGAGCTTCCCCTTCCACCACGTATTCGTGTCGTCGCTCTTCTCAGTGACGATAATCACCTGCCCCTTGGAGAACGACAAGTCTCCCGGCTTCAAGCACGCACACGACAGCATCCGCAGGAATCGCAGATCAGTTTAGCATGTCCGCTAGTCACCAGGACATCACCCACCTGGACAGCTTTGAAGTCATAGAGCGCAATCGCCCGCGCGACGCCCTCGTGCGGGAGCAGCGGCCTCGTTAGCTCCGCCTTCGGCGCGATTTTCGGCTTAGGGCTCATCCCATACACGGCCGACCGGCTTCCGGCCCCGCCACCTAGCAGGTCGTCATCGAAGTGGTCCTCCTCATGCGCGGCGTACGCCTCGAACGGGTTGCTGCCCTTCTTGCGCGTGCCGTTGAGCGATTGAGACGTCACAGAAGGCGCGTACGCGCTGAACGCACGGCGATGGGACGTCGCATCCGACATATTGGAGCGTGCCTCACTGAATCCGCCGCCAGGCAGGTCGTTGAACGGACTGTCGGGCTCCCAGCTGTCGCCCACCGACTTCCTCGCGCCGACTCCCGCGGAGGCGGGCTGACCTAGCGTCAAGAGATCGGGTACATCAGAGTTCGTGCGGCGGCTACTGAGAGGCGGGTGCTGGCGAAGCTGGTCGTCGCTAATGTAGTCGGATTGGAAGCGAGTCTCGAAGTAGCCCGTCGCAGGGTTGAGCACGCGATCCAGGCGGGGAGAAGGGCGATCCTCAGGGGAGAGCTTCGGGGTGGCGATATGCGTGTCCGCGGGCTCCGGAGCGCGGGCGGGATCGTGGAACTCGGAAAAGTACGAGCCAGAGCTCTTCTGGCGCCCCCACTGCATTGGCGGGAAGGATAGGCTACCTGCCTTATCTTTCTTCTTCTTCGACAGCTTCCCGTTGGCGCTACCGCCTATAGGTGGGCTCTCAACGGACGGGCTGTCGAGGGAGTAGCGCGACCCGGCGGGGCCATGCTCAAGTCCTGGACTCTCGACGCTGCCGAACATATATGGATCGTCCGCGCGATGAGATCGGAAGTCTTGCACCCATCTGCGTCCTCCTGGCATGCCCGTACATGTCTCGAGCGTCTTGATCAGGGGCGAAGCCCAGTCAGGTGGCGGAATAGCTCCGCTCAACAGCTGCTTCGCAGTGACGTCTGCACGGTATGCTTGCGCGTTGGCGTCCTGGCGTTCGACGATAACGGAGCCTTCTATTGAGACACCTCCGAAGAGACCCCTAGTTTTGGAATAGCTGTACATCGCGGCCACCTTCCCGCTAGTATTGAGGGATCCGATGGCTTCGCCATTCCGTCCAAGAGGGCCGACAGCAAGACTGAGATTCCCGCCTAGTGTTAGCGAGCCGGCAGACATAAAGGATGTCTAATGAGCAGTAAGTGAGGATAACTATATTGCTATCTTGCGAAAAAAATCCCGACTTACAACAGCCTAAACTCCGACTCAAAGTCAGTTAGTTGTACGCACGAGCACTATGTGTGAAAACCTACCGATCTTGAGTTCAAGACGATTAGGAAGTCTGTCATCTCTGCACCGGCTTGCCCGCCGACACCTACACCGGCGGTTCCTATTGCGCTTGGTGCCGACCAGGCTAAATTGACGGGTCAATGACTGAAAAGACGTATGATTCATAGATTGCTCAAGACGCAACCATGCATGCAGGTCGATATGAGGAGATGCATGCGGAGAAGGATTGTGGAGGACACGACTAGGACGAGCAGGGCGGGAAAGGTGAAGAACAGAAAACTCACATCCATCATCGAGCTTCGCAATGACAATTCCACTTCCAGCCCGTGCAGAGAAAAGAAACCCGGCCTTGAAGATGGTGAAGATGGCGAAACCTTTTGCATTCTCGAGGACACTGCGGGGAATGACCTTGAACGTATATCGATCAGATCTGCCAAGGTGTGATAATGTCAATATGAGTGTACCCCGTCAAGACCATTGTTACTGCTGTCGACAAATGATTTAACTGAACGACGTCAGCTCCAGGAAGTGATTACATTAATAAGAAGCAGTGTCTACTTACAGATTTGTGCCGCCTTCTGGCATTCCTTTGGTAAAGGTTGTGGTAGAGGGGTGTTAAATTTCATGCCACCCTCGATGTCAATGTCAAAATTCACAGTAGATGGAAAGAGTATGCGTCGGTGAGGGAACAGCACTGGATGAAGAGTGGAGTTGGCTGAGTGGACGAGCAGAGACACTGACAGAGTGCGCGGACGATTTCATGGCTCAGAGACGCCCATTACATCATTCCCCGCATAAGCTTGCTGACAAGCGTCCATCGACGGTCCGGAGCAGTGCCGCGGCCCTCAGGCTCGGATCAATCTCGCAAACGGGGACTGCCGCATTACGCAAGCCGCCTGCATAAGAGCAGTTTTCGCAGCTGGTATCGCTCTCTTGTCGCCGACACCTTATCACCCCTCTCCACGCTCACCTTCTCACTGGTTAGGGGCCATTTGTTGCGGCGCAAATGGACTGAACGCTCTTCTTTCGCTAGCAGCTTTATGCGTTGTTCGTTACAATGGCGATGATGGACTTCTAGATAGTAGTGAGAGCTACATTCCTGCGGCTTCCTTACACTCCCACATCGCTATGTCATGCTCGAATCTATGTATCTTGCACTCTTCCCTTCTGGTGTGCTATGGATTGTCGTATCACTGCCACGAGGCACGTCACATCGCAAGGACCACAGTATGCTGGACCTGCCCTGCAGGCTGCAAGATTGGTGCAAGCAGGCTGTACAAACGTCGCGTGCATCGCCAGGGTCGATCGTCGATCGAGTCATTAATGTGGTACGGATTCTCCCACGAAAGGACTGCTTCTCCCTACCATATCATAGCGGCCATTAGCGCATTCCCGTTCACAGTACGTGATATGTCGTCGCCAACTGGACGCAAGAGGGTTGTTGTTCTGGGTGCAGGTAAAGAAACTCTCTGCAAACAACCTCCGCAAACACTTACTCAAACGAATAGGTGTGGTGGGCTTGACTACCGCCGTTAAAATCCAAGAGAAGGGGGAATACAACGTCACAATCATAGCGGAGACCTTCCCTACCGATCCCAAGACGATTATGTATACCAGTCTTTGGGCCGTACGTGCCATGGTTGATTTCGTGCGCGAAGTCGTGTAAATCGCCTCAACAGGGCGCGCACCATGTCAGTCACGCTGCGAACGATGCGAAGCAGATGGGTGCGTGCAATCCTTGTATACGTCTGCGGGTGGACGAACGCTGACATATCGTCAGCTATCGACCGAGAGACATTCAACGTGATGTGGAAACTGTCCGAGCCTGGAGGGGCCGCAGAACATTGCTTCCTCCGGGTGGCACAGACAGACTATCTCCTTGACGGCAGGGATGAATGCCTCGACTGGATGCCGGACGTGCGTCCCCGCTTCCGCCGTCGTACCCGCAGCAGACGTACTGATCCTTCCCTCGCAGTTCAAAACGCTCCCACAGGATGCCCTTGTACCCGGCACGTCCGCGGGCACATCATTTACCACCGTCAACATCGACACCCCCGTCTACCTTCCATACCTCCTCGCTCGATTCCTTTCTCGCGGCGGTTCGATCGTCCGCGGATCAGTCCAGCACATTTCGCAGGTCATCGAGGGCGGCCCAGGTCTCTTCCGCCGCGGGCGCGCAGATCCCGAGCCTGTTCATGCCCTCGTCATCTGCCCTGGGCTGGGCGCACGCACGCTGGGGGGCGTCGAAGACAAGAACGTGTATCCCGTGCGTGGACAGGTTGTCATCATCCGCGCTCCATGGATCAAGTCCGGGAGGACGGTGAGCCATCTGGAGCAGGGATTATGGACCTATATCATTCCACGGCGGAGCGGAGACGTGCGTCCTGCAACGTAGTTTGTCTCAATAGTTGAGCCGGGATTGCTGAACGGAATGTGTGATAGGTTATTTTGGGAGGCACGAAACAAGACAATGACTGGTATCCGGCGGCGCGTCCCGAGACGACTACTGACATCCTTGAGCGCTGCCTTGCCCTATGTCCTGAGATCGTCCCCCCAGCCATTCGTGCAGAACGTCAAGGCACAATTGAAGATGTGCGTGCGCTGATTGTGGAGGAAGGTTGCGGCTTCCGTCCTCAGAGGAAGGGCGGGATCAGGCTGGATGTCGATTGGGTCCCTGGACGTGTAGGACAGGGCAGCGTGCCTATGGTGTTCAACTACGGGTTAGTAGTCTACTACGTCTGCTATTGTGTGTAGATGCTGAACGACGCTCCTCAGGCATGGAGGTGGCGGATATCAATCTTCGTGGGGTAGTGCTTCAATAGCGCTGGAGCTGCTCGAGAAGGCGCTCGCCTCACCGGCCTCTAAATCATAATTCATAGACCCGTTTGTGATGAGGATCGCATGCGTTTCGAATAGTGTTAACCAGTCCAACAAGTTGTACAACGTCAATATCCGAGATCGTTCGTGAGATATCACTAGCAATGTACGAGAAACTGCAGACCGATTCCTCGAAACTTATACAGCCTTCACCTTGAGGAGCATCTCAGGCTTCTCACTGTCGAGGCCCATCGTTGGGAATGATACTCCAGCAGAGTTCCAAATGATCTCCTTGTCAGTCAATTCGAATTCGAAAGCGGCCAGCAGGACAGACAGGACGACCTCTGGGGGAGGTGTAAACATGTCAGCTGACAATGACGCAGATGCACGGCGCACGATGATACGTACTCATCTCCAGCTGGGCGAACTTGAAGCCAATGCACGCCCTGGTGCCACCTGAGAACGACATACTACCATACGACAGACTCAAGTCAGCAAGATCCAGCCACGATGGAGAAGAGAAAACGGACATGTTCGAATAGACTCCCGGGATGCGGGCCTCGTCCAGATCAGCGGGGAGAGGACTTAGCCAGCGCTCGGGCTTCCACTCGTGTGCATCCTCGCCCCAGAGCTCCGGATTGTAGTTGCTACCTTGGAGGTGGAGGAGAACGAGCGTGCGTCTAGGTATGGGCACTGCGTCCATCATGCGACCATCTTTCCCGCGGACAGGCTTTGACAGCGGGAGCATCTGATCTTTTGCCGCGCTGCTCACGCGGAATGCAGTCAGTGACACGAGCATCAAACGATAGAACGAGAGTTTGCAACCTACCGACGAGCAATTATCTGAACAGGAGAGTACAGCCGCAGGGTCTCACGGCACACTGCGTCCAGATACGGAAGCTTGATGAGGTTCTCGTAGTCGATTGTCGGCTCTCCATTGCGCGCTTCGAGGATCTCAGCGCGGAGCTTGGACTGAGCAGCTGGGTTTTGTGCGAGGACCTGGAGGGTACGCGATAGTGCGTTCGAGGTGGTGTCCATGCCTGCGAGCATCAGAACTCTGTTACAAATGATTGAGACAACTTAGAAGAATGTTCCGGCAAAGGGCCACTGACGACATCTGAGCGATGACTTCCTCGTCCGTAAGCTTCTCAGCATCGGTTGCAGTCATATTGGCCTTGACTGTGAGAGGTGCTATGAGTACCATGCTCAACATGGGGCAATCGGGATACCGATGCTCACGTAGGATGCTCATAATGTCCTTTCCCTCTCCGACTGGGTGGGTGAGGGCCTCGTCGCCCTTCTTCAATGCTTCCTTCTTCTCATCAATGATTTCTTGCGAGCGGCGCATCATGGTGTCTGAAACGCTCATCATGTTCCGGACCTCCTTGTGAGGGTAGCGGCGCAAGATCGCGCGAATAGTATCGTCTGATATGACTCGCGAGACACCGGGTAGGAAGAACCCCATCAGCAGTATGCGCGCCAGAGTCGGGCTGTAATGCAATCAATCAATCTCGAACCTGAAACTACGGGGGAAGACCACGAGTAGACGGCCATGCGGCTTACAAGAAACTCTTCAGAGATTCGCCATACGCATCAGAAGAGTCTTCGATGAAGTTGTCGAAGGAGTAACCGAGCCCTGCTTGTCCGAGCATTTCAAGGGTAGTGCGGGCCATCCAGCCGTTCACGTCTATAATCTGTGCTTCTTGGGCTACGCGTTGATGGATCGCTCTGCGCACCTGAGGTCCGCCTTCTGGTCAGCAGAAGCGCATTATACAGACATATGCAGCCGCGGACGGCGCCAAACCTTGTGCGAGATGTCATGAAACAGGTTAGTCATATGACGCAGATGAGCTGCTGAGAAGACAGGGTTGAGGAGCTTCCGTTGACGCCGATGTTGATGTGCCTCCGTGGTGAGGAGTCCAGGACCAAGAAAAATATTCAAGTCGCTACAGGCGCGAAGACAGCCGTGAGCGACTTTATCGGTTCATCATGACCCAGACCCTTACTCAGAAGGCGTGATGCGTTTCGGGTAATTCTCCACCTCCTTAATGAGAACGGTATACAGCGCCTTGGGGTCGGATATGTACAGTAACCAGCTCTGAAGTGATTGTTATCAATCAACTGCACACAATTTTGGGACAGGCAGCGAAGCACACGTACACCGAGAGGCCCGCGCAACGCTGAGACAGTACCGTAAGTATCCGCAATTTCCTTCCAGTAGTTGAAGCTTTGTCGATCGGCCAGTCGGTCGAGGTGACCTGAGATATGACAGAATGTGACTATGGGTTCTTAGTCAATCTGCCGATGTTCAACGCACCTTTCCACCATGAGTGGGAAGCCGGTCCTGGGATATTCTTCAGATTGAACGAGGACGGTAAGAGAATTTCCTGCAGAAAGAACCTCCAGATGACGAAGCCTATAGCAGCTACAAAGGCTGCGATTGGAAGCGAGAGGGCCATGGTGAGCGAACAGGGCAACAAACGCGAAGCAGACTGTGCTCCCTCCGAGAATATTATTCAGTTCATATGTAATTCCAGATCTCTGCCGTGGGGTATACGTAAGGATACGTGGCCCGTGCCTTGTGTAAGTATAGCAAAGCTGGTGAGATATCCCGACTCCGGAAGTTGATCTTGGCCGCCACAGAGATGATCGACCATCATCTTGAGTCATTTTGATCAGGTCAGCAACGGAGACTATGGCCGCCTCAGCTTGTGGGGTCCCCGAGAACACCGGATCAGCGGCTATGTCGTTAGACTTATCGATGGCTGTGCCGCAGACCTTTGCTCAGACTTCCAAGCTTGTGGCCGCAGGAGTCCCTTAAGGCTCCTTCATCATTTTTTTCCTGCCACGTCATGAGACTTCAGGCTTCCTCAATGCACAGTAGGTGCAGCAGGCCATGATGGAGTTGACATAGGTAGCAAATATTAACCAAGTGAAAGTGTCAGTCTGCGACGGCCTACACCGTAACTCCCGAACGAATCACAGTTTGCTAATGCCATCGTTGGGAATGCGTGGATCGCAGTTGCGTCAGCTCCTATCGAGCTATGAAGTTGCATCTGCGAACATCTGCACGACAAATCATGTTTTGTCCTGACATTCGCGCAGCTTGTTGCATGGCCATTCGACAGGCTCAGCTACCCGTGGTATACTCCGACAGTCCTGGCGTGATTAGGCTCATTCGGTACGGATGTGGGTCAGCTGTTACTCATCCTACCGGGATGGAGCTTACTCGCTGACGTGTAGGGATACCATCTACCTCTAAGAGCGAACCTCCATCAACCGTACTCAGAAACAACATCACCATGACCAGGCAAACTTGCGGCATGGGAATCCGTATCGTGTCCCCCTTCCGCTCTATGCCCACTATACACGACTCTACCTGACTGTTACACGACTTTCCCATACTATCTCAGTAATGACATAATCCAAATGGACCACGTAAATGCGAGTGGGTCGAGACAAAGGAGCTTGCACTTAGGTCCTTTCTGAATCAGAGGCCGGGGCCACGAAGTGCATTAGACGCAAGTTGAACCTACAGTACACATTTGTCGTACTGGCAAGGCGGAAAGGTGGGATCAAAGTACGTGCGAAGCAGTGTCTATCTATGCTACACCGGTGAAGTAGAGATACATGCTATGATCTAGGAATATATTGAACACGAAGTCCATGATATTGTTGTCAATGAGAGCGTCGTTGAGCGAAGGCTCATTGATATCCGCCGTAGTATCCACCGTCCACCGCTGCCGACGTCGAAGCAGATACAGCACGAGCGTTAGCCGTGATGAGCGGAGCTAGGGTAATTGTACTGGCGCGAACGATAACGGGGAGGGATGCAGAACTCGCTGAAGAGGAAGAGGTAACGCCAACAACCTTGCTAGAGGCTGTCGAACCGTTGCTTGAGGAAGCGACTGACTGTGACCTGGCAGTGCTTGTGACCTTGGCCGATGGCGCTGCGCTCGACACGGAAGACGGGAAGATGGTCGTGATGGACACGTTCGGATCGGTGGCAAGGCTCGATAGTAGACTGGAAGCCGCAGACGGGTCGAGTGTGAAGGTTTCAGACGGCGACGTTGAGGTCGGCACGACGGTCACTGTTATAGTGACCTCTCCAGTTGCGGTAGAATCGGTAGAAGCTGCGGTGCCCGACGATGCCGCAGAGGTGATGGACGCAGAGTGCGTCTCGTGCGAATGCTTGTGAGTCTGAGAGGTCTCTGCGCTTGCCGATGCAGAAGCTGACTCCGTAGAGTTAGAGGTGCTGTCGTCGCTGTCACAATCCGTTGGGAAGTCGATCGTCGTGTTCGTGCTCTTCACGGCGATGCCACCGGTGGCACCCGTAGCACTAATTAAAGAAAGGGCAGTGTTGTTGGTAGTACAAGTGAGGACCTGTGCCACAAAATGAGCCACATTCACAATGATCGGCGCAATCGTTCACTTACAGTTCCCTCTTCTGTGGTAGAAGGAAGGGCGAAGCAGGAGTTCGACGTGCCGCTGCAAGGAACTAGTTGCCAAGTGGATTTGGAGCATGTAGCGACCGAATTATTTATACAGGCAAGCTCTCCGTCTGCCAGAGATGAAGTCAGCGCGACGTCCTACACCAAACAAGACCTGCCCACCATTACAGCGATCTGAAGCTTTCAAGTTTGCAAACTCCGCATTGAGGGTCTGCGCATCCTGGCCATTCTGAAGGAAAACAGCCGGGTCAAGCGAAGCCGTAGGGGCGCCAAGTACGGCGGAGCTGAGCAACATTAAAACCGTAGCGGCGTAGATGGAACGCATCATGCGATCAATCGACTGAAAAAGGTGGCAGAGGAAAGCAGGGAAGAAACTTGAGAGGCTAAGGAAGCACCGGGCTTCAATGAGAGGGGAGTCGAGCAGGATACGAGCTCAAGAAGCACAACACAAGGAGCAGCAGCGGACGTTGACTAACTTATATACATGGTAGACAAAAGCCTCGGGAGTATGGCGACCGCCGCCATTGTTTTTGTCGTCCATGGCCGGGACCAACTTCCATTGTTTCCCAATCAGGACGAGCACCCAATAAACGTCACGTGCCCATATTCAGGGCAGGTGGGCGCCAAACCCCGAGATCTGAATTGGCAGGCGAAGGCGCACCAGTCGAGTCCTCGTCCATCGCCCTCGTCAAGACACTCGATTCATCATGGTGAGCATCCCGTTCATGTTGTCAGATGGACTCTCCAAGTCCTGTGGACGCTTTTCGGTGGTCGGAAAGGCGTAATCCGTGCGCCGCGGCGGTGGATGGCAAAGCGGGACTCGGGATGACGGATGACGAAAGGTAGCCTTGACCGACTGCTAACGCTTTGCGTTTCCCCCTTGCGCAGACCAAGAAGAGAAGAAACAACGGCCGCAACAAGAATGGACGCGGCCACGTGAGTTTTGTGCGCTGCTCAAACTGCTCGCGATGCGTCCCCAAGGACAAGGCTATCAAGCGATTCACTGTCCGTAACATGGTTGAGACGGCGGCGGTGCGTGATATCAGCGAGGCTAGCGTGTACCATGGCAAGTTTCACTTGTTCTCATACGTCCTAGCTGAGCGGCTTCTCACTTGCTCGTACGTCCGGCAGAGTACGTCATTCCCAAGCTCTACATCAAAATTGCGTACTGTGTTTCGTGCGCCATCCACTCTCATGGTATGTTTTACGTGCACCATGTTTCTATGTCCTTGTCTCATGTGCCATCAGTCGTCCGTGTTCGTTCGCGTGAGGGTCGCCGTAACCGTGCGCCCCCTCCCCGTGTCCGGTGGAAGGATGGCAAGAAGGTCAACCCTGCTGTCGCTGCTGCCGAGGAGGCTAAGGCTGCCGCTGCACGGGGGCAATAGGTGTCTGACACACTCGACTTGTAATCCATATTTCGACGCTTTCCGTGCACCCGTGTATCTCGCATATGCAATGCCACATGTACCATTGCCGAGCCAACGTGTGGGTGTCCCGCCTCAAGACTGTGCATCCTTGCGGTGCATACATGCGTACGTGGAGAATATCCATACTTCACTGACAGATTGATGGAGGTCCCAGCGCTTCTTACATATAGCATCCTACTTCGCCTGACATGCTGTGTGATCTTCTTTCCATCTAGCCATCTCTCCGTGACATTGCTGCGTGAGGCAGAGTTTGATAGGTTACTAGTATATAATCATCAACACTGCCCTCCTCTTGCCATGACTGCCTCACTGACTGTTTGCCGGCCCCAGTCTCCGTGCTACCTACCCTCGTGCAGGTGCGCCATGTTACATTACTATCCGATCCCGAATGACTCAACGCATTATTCAGTCATACATACGGAGCATTGGTGCGGAGCGTTCTGACATACGCATCATACGCCTTCCCTTCGTGCTCAGCTTGCATCGTTGCTAAGTGAGCAGAATATTCTTTATTGTCATGACGAAAAGCAAGTGACCAAAGCTTTCAGATCATGCGACTTCTGGACACATGTACAGGCCTATTTCACTGGACCGACGGCCCCTCTGAGACGTCGTATGCTATACTATCGCATGTGTGGTGCACACTCCCAACTTCGGATCAGTCATATGAGGACATCGTACGCATCCAAGCATCCCAGGACGGTGGCATGACAATTTGGGCTGATGTTCGAGTCAACGAGAAAATTCGGAACGCTTGTGCCGTCGCATGGGTTGACGGCCATCGCTACCTTTGGATAGACTCGTGCTGTATTGACAAGACGAGCAGTGCGGAGCTATCGGAAGCTATCAACTCGATGTACGAGTGGTATGCCCAAGCTGACATCTGCTACGCCTACCTAGAGGATGTGGATGACGATGACGATCTCTCCGACCCTTTATCCTCCTTCCGCTATAGCAAGTGGCACTCCCGAGGATGGACCCTTCAGGAACTTATTGCGCCCAAGTCCCTCCTCTTCTTGTCTCGCCAATGGCATCCTCTCGGCACCAAGCACTCCCTAGCCGTCATCATTGAACAAGTGACGGGGGTTGATCGCGAGATCCTCATACATACTAAACAACTCGATCAAGTCAGCATTGCAAAGCGCATGTCGTGGGCTTCCAAGCGGACGACGACGAGGATCGAGGACGAAGCATACTCACTCATGGGCATCTTTGGCGTCCACATGACCACGATATATGGGGAGAGGCAGAACGCCTTCCGTCGTCTCCAGGAGGAGATCCTCCGGAGGAATCCTGACCAGAGCATCTTTGCTTGGGGTGGAACTCTGAGCCGGACCTTCGCCGAGCATCTTGATCACTTCCGCCCCGAAGACATGTCTTCCCTTCTCGCCCCATCGCCCAAGCACTTCGTCTTTTCAGGCAATATCAGTTCCATCCGGCATAGTGATTTTCTAGAGGCCCTTTGTCTCCCATTTGACCACCCATACCCTCTCACCACTCATACACCCTACGGCATTCGTATGAATTCCCCACTCATCCCTTCCGCCGCCATCATCAGACTGGATGAAGCACCGCCGCAGGCGTCGTGGCTACTTGTGCTACAGTGCCGGGATAAGTTTGGTCGCCTCATCGCCCTACCCCTACAACGCTCTCCCGGTTCCGAGCCGTCTCTCAAAGGAGTCCAGATCGGCGCGGGCGATACCGATCCCGGAGACGATGCCTCCTCAAGCGGAAAGTGGAACGGCCGCGTGTGGCCTATATCTAGGAAGAAGCTCGAGGCCTGCTTACGGTCTATCTTCACCGCAGAAGTTATCCTTCCCGTATATCCAGCGAGGAAACACCCCACAAATTCCAACACACCTCGACGCATCGTCCGTACCCGGGAGTTCATCCTATGCGATTGGTGTCGCCCTCTGTTGTCTAAACATGGTTTCGAGCTGTCTCAGGTGATTCAAGGAGCCATTTATCCTGACAGCGTCTTCATCTTGATCTCGAGCAAGGCTTACACATCCGTCACAATTCGCATCTCCTACCACCACCACGATGTCGTCACAGTGGCCGTACAACAGCGAAGCCTAAGTCAAGTCGCTGCAGCGCACACAGTTGATGTTGCCTCCGACCACGCCAGCCTGATACCTGTAGCGGTATCGAGCCATATTATAGCTAGGCCCGCTGGTACGTCCTCAAATGGGAAGTCTGTCGCGCTATCCCCTGTGCTTGAAATGCATTGGGTAGGGAATACTGCTGCGCGATATAGAGACCCGCGCTGGGCGGAATACGAGATCGAAGATATATCTGGCTCCGGCTCTCCCCCTACGCGTATCCGCGTTGGCCTGTCCGCGTCGCTTGACAGCGACGGCGTCCATAGGACCGGAGTCACGATTGAGACTATTCTACTTGCCCCACCCCCACGACCGCGACGACCCAGTACTCCGTCGCGAGGCAGTAGACCTACGCTGTTGCGGCCGCAAACCCCTGATCGAGTTCAGCTATTTTCGCCTCCATCCGCCTCTCATCAAAGGACCGGTGACTCATCGGCAAGGCCAGATTCACCCACCATCCCCGAATTGAACACCTATGTCTTCCCTTCCAGCCAAGTCAGGACACCCCCTTCCACCCCTCACTCCCGCAAAGTTGCTCTTTCCCAGTCTCAGACTCGCCCGCCTAAAATCGCATCCCACCATAGTGAACACCAAGCTACCCGTTCAGAAGGGCAAATACGGGACCACTCCCCTACGTTCCCACGACCATTCCTTGCTCAGCGTGATCCACCTTCGCTTCGTTCTCCACATACGATGAACAAAGGCTGCTCAGGCTACTTGGTCCACTTGACCAACAAGTCAGCGACGTTTTCGTGACTCTGGATACTAGTATCGCAGGCACGACGGACTGGGCCAAGGATTGTAGTCTAGATCCAATCCTCTCGCGTCTATACGAATTTACCTTATATATTCCCTTAATCTATCATTGCAGGAGAAGGGTGCGATATCTCAAGGCGAGGCCATAGATTCACCAAGGATAGGCGCCGTGATTCCAGGATCTGGGATGTATAGGGTTGCGTTTAGTTGCATTTGGTCACCGTAATACACGCGCACCGCAGTACACACTTTGATAGTAAAGACTCAGAGCATGAAACCGCAAACAGTACAAGGAACGAGACAATATTAATAGCACCAGATTTAGCACGTGATTACAGGTCCAGGATCCGAATGTGAATCATCCAGCAGTGTCATTTTAGAATATCTACAGCGAACTGCTGGGAGTTGGGATCATCTTCATCGACGAGAGCAGCTGTTTTGATTGTGAATACCTGCTTTCCGCTCACAGGACGCCCTTAATACTAGACCAGCCCCAACCATCCGTCTAACCTCTCCCACCACTCCCACCTCCTCGCCTCCCACTCCTCTCTCCACTTGCGCAAACACAGCGTGCACCACGTCGGCGCCAGCTGCTTCCTCTTCCGCGCGATGAGATCGTACCGGATCGGATCCATCGCTCCGTCCTCGACGGCGCTCGTGCCTTCGTGATTGACGAAGTGCGCCCACTTAGCCTCCCGGTAATAGGTCCCGCGCGGGACGGAGAGGGCGTCGCACGCGTTCGGTATAAAATCGTCGTCCAACGCGCCCTTGCCCGTTTCTTCTCGTTGACCCCTGGCGTTCCCCGAATCGCGCTTTTCAGCAGCGGCCGCCTTGGTCCTCGTCTGCATCCTGTGCCTGTTACCGCCCCCTCCACCCTTCTCGATATTTGTTTCGGTTGGAGAAGAGCTCCGCGGGCATGGGCAGGCCGACTTGCCTGTATCAGGGTCGGTGGATGGTGGGGTGCGAACATGTTCGTACCAGACGTGCGTGAACGCGTGCCGCCCCTCGAGTAGCCTGATCCGGTCGTCAGTCTGGAGTCCAGTGAGCCTTTCACGGACGCGGAGCTTGTCGTCTTCCGTAGAGGACGACGGTGAATTACGAGGAGTAGATGTGGAAGGAGAAGAGCGGGAGGGGGAAGGGGCGGGGGCAGGGAGAGGAGGGAGCGCGGTCCAGAACTTGGGGTTGGAGATCAGCTCGTAGTAGACACGCTTGAGGATCTGGTGCAGATTGTGCTCGCGCGCAAAGGAGAGCATGTACACACAGAGATGATAACTCGGTCGATCCTCCTCCGGCGGGTCCGGGCTAAGGTGTGGAGCGCGCGAGCGAGGGGAGGGAGGTGCGCTGGAGTCCCAGAGCGCGAGAATATGCCTTTTGGCGACGGCGGCGACAGAGTCGCACGCAAGGATCGTGGAGGCGCGGAGCAGGCGGATGGCGTCGTATCGTGTGATTTTCGAGCTGTCCACGTACTCTGTCAGTGCCTGTGATGTGCCAATGGACGAAAGGACAAAGGGAAGGATGGACCGAGGATGCGAGACCGACACTCACGAAGGTTCCTCGAGCTCGGATAGTAATCGTTCAAAGTCTTCAACAAGAAGCTCTGCGGGCGCATGGTACACACGCACGCCTTCTAATGTTACCTGAGGCATCTTAGCATTCTCGTCCGAAAAGAGGTTGGCGAAATACACGGAGTGTTTCACGAGGCGGGACTGGTAGAGCTTGTAGAGTATGTCCCCGGCGCGGACGACGACGTCCCCGTCGGAGTACCAGAAGATCGCGGACATCTGCTCCTCGACAACGTGGAAGTCCGAGTCGCATGGCTCAGATTTGATACGCTTCTGTGGGGGAGTGGGTGTCTCCGGAGCAGAAAGGTGGGGCTGGCGGTCGAGCAATCAGCGCAGTCCGCACAACGAGAAAGGGAAGTATACTCACCCGCTTTTTCGACGGGGTCTTTGGAGGAGTGGGCAAGCCATGCTCCGTACTAGGTTTCATCATTGATCTTGAGAACACGGCTGGAGGTGTCGATGCGGGAGTGGATGGGGTGTCTAAGCCCGACCGGATATCGCTAGACTCGGAGAGACTCGACATGGAAGGTCGATCGCTGGGAGCGTAGTAATGTATCGAGAAAGCGGAAAAGAGCCATGGCGTTATATAGATAAGCAGCAGATACTCATAGGACAAAGGAGGCTTCAGGTGAGGACGCCTCGAGGACGGCAACAATCGCGATATGTATCTGGAGGACAGTCCACAAAGGACACGAGCGCTAATGGGCCAACACGCTCTCGGAGCGATGCACGTGGTACGCGACGACGTACGAACGGCGGGAGAAAAGCAGCAAGAGTCAGTAGCAGAATATCAGCACAGAGTATCCGTTAAGAACTGACCGCACCTGGAGGACAGGACACCGAGGAAGATTTCACTGAGTGACGATGATCTGAGGTGTCAGCAGTCGGATAGTCTGGTGCCTTCGAACCAATATTATGCTTCGTTGTATCAACTCATCACCTAAGTATACACGCGCTGAATAGCTAGAATAACAAACGTCCAGAAGATGGAAACAGAAAGCAGCACAACAGGCACACTGGCAGACAAACAACGACGATGACGATAGCACCAGATCCAGGACTGGTCAAACACCGAGGATATGAGCCCTCCAGTACCAGGCAATACTAGAGGATCACAGCGAGCTGCAGGAGAGTCGGTATCCGCGAACGAAATCGACGCTCAGTCCTCGTCCTCTTCTTCCTCGTCGATGACCTCCTCGGTCTTTTTCTTGCCTCGCGACCCAGCAGGTTTTGCCTTGGAGGCCGGCTTAGCAGATGAGGCTGGCTTCGCGGACTTCGACGTCGACGCCGGCTTGGCACGCTTTGATGGCGGCTTCGACGAGCTCGCGCCCTTGGATGCAGGTGCACGCTACAAGCACCTTGAGCACGCAAGAAAGCCGTGTGACACAAGATGGGACACGCACCTTGCGCTTCTTGGTCGGTTCCTCAACCTCCTCGTCCTCTTCGTCAACTTCCTCCTCGTCTACGGCCGCGAGCTCGTCGTCAAAGTCTTCGCCAGACTCCTCTTCGCTCTTCTTCTTCTTGGGCGCCTTCTTGGGTGCAGCCTTGGCCTTGGCCGGAGCATCCTTCTTCGCCGCGCCGCGGCCCTTCTTCGGCTTCTCCTCGTCCACATCCATCTCCTCATCATCATCGTCCGCCTTCTGCAGGCGCAAAGCAATAGAGAAACGAGTCCGCTCGTGTCAGCTGCTTCGACGCCAAGACGGCCAGTCTCGCGTACCTTCGCCTTTGCACGTGACCGCTTCGGCTTTTCCTCACCATCCTCATCTTTCTTCTTGCGAGGTGCGGGCTTCTTCTTACCGGTCTCTACCGGCTCGCCGGGACCCTTGTCCTCGTCGGGGATCTCGCCCTGGTCCCAAGCGCGCTGGACCTTCTCCTTCTCGCCGTCCTTGAGGTCGTTGTACCCATCGACCTCAGACACATCACTGTAAGATGCCTTCATCCTCTCAACCAGCTTGGGCTCAGCACAACCCCAATGGCGCCATGCACTAGAATAGGATTAGCGTCGCGGAATGAGAAGGAGTGTCTACAGTTTTGACGCACAGGGACTTATTTCCACGGAAGTCCACCTCGTGACCGAGACGGAAGTAGTCTTTACCGATAGAATCTATAGCAGACGATCAGTCAACAAACTCCCGATCCCGCATACGAGCAGTCTAGCTCACCTCCACAAGCTATAGCGAAGTAATAACAACGCGCATGAACACCGGTTTGGTCCCACAACCATAGCAACCACGTACTTTTGCATTTTGACCGGCTAGACGACGCGTACTCAAACTTGAACACGCCCTTGCCGCTGTCCTCCTCTTCAGCCTTCTTCTTGCCGGCCTTCTTCTTAGGCTTGTCTTCAGCCTCGTCCTCCTCTTCGGCGTTACCACCCTGCGCGCTCTCTGGCACGTCCTCGGGAGCGACGCGACCGTCCTCCCAAGCTTTCTGGACGCGTGCTTGATCTTCGTCGTTGAGATCGTCGAAGCCGTCAAGCTCGTCGGCCTCATTGAACGAATTCTTCATGTTGGAAATGATCTTGGGAGTCACACAACCCCAATGACGCCAGGAGCTGCGGAGAGAATAAGTAAGTCACAAGCCAACCACGAACCAACCGGGTGCAACCACAGCGGCACAACGCATTGTCGTTGAGCTCATGCTGCAAGGAACCGCGCATATGCACAGAAGCAACCACTTACAAGCTCGTGTTGCCCCGAAAGTCGACCAGGGACCCAAATCGCAACTCTCCCTTGCCAATGGCCGTGCCCTTGCATCTGCGAGAACGTGATTAAAAACCAGAAACATTGATAATCTGAAAGAGACGTACGGTTTCGGGCCTAGGACGCGAGGGCGACGCGTGAATCGCGATCATGATGAGTGTGCGCAAAATAGGGCGTAACGAGGACGAAGTGGGCTCACCAGTGCATTTGGCGCGCCCACTAGAGGCGTATTCGAGACGGTAACCGGACTTTTTGCCACCTTCGTTGTCAGACATCGTGCTGGCACCCAAGCAAAGTGGGTAGGAGAGAAGGGAAGTGGGGGAGAAACGGAAGACAGTTGATGTTGGTAGACGTTAAATAGGAACGCAGGACGCTTCAAAGTCCGCTTGGAGAGCGCTGCCGCTGCACAGTGCACCTGCTCAGCTCAGCTGTAAGACTACAGCCACGCCCGGGCCAATGCGGTCACCCGCCCACGCACGGACCTCCACCCAGCCGTCTCTTCGCCATGCGTCCCGCCCCGAGCGACTGGCACACACCTCGAAGACGTCTTTATGTGTCTTGTGAGGCGGGGAAAGCACTACCCAGACGTCGCCCTGGTCCCGGTAGACTCGGCGATAGGGCTGCAATCGGGTTAGGGTTTGTGCTCTAAGCTGCCAGCAGTCGCTTTGCTTATCCCACCGCCTGTGACTTCCATGCTTCTTCATTGTTCCCCTGGATGAGCGGACAATCGCTTTTGACAGATGGTCGTATGGTGCGACATGACGGGATAAGCTGGCATCCCGCTCTACGCGCAGGGTCCAACCTGCATCACTGCGCACCTGGGTGTGGTTCCCGTATACCTTGTAAGCTCCCGTTTGCGCCATCCCACCTTGCACTGAACTGGATATAGAACTATAATCTGAGGATAGAGCCATGTGGGGTACCGTACTGCAGTGATACACGCTCTCAGCGGCCGCTGTTCACCAATATCTGCCTTCTTGCTTGCTAGTCCTCGGGATACGACTATGGCGGTATCCACGCCTAACTACCCTCATCAAGTGCGGAAGGCATGTCCTGTACGCCTCCGGATTCCTGAAGTGGAGGGTCGAACTGAGCACGTCCAGAATGCCGTCTGTCACCCGAAACACAAGAAGTGTAACAGCCGCTTTGCGAACGGCAATGCGCTCAGCAATGTGTCTTTGAACAAGCTTACATTGCTATACATGACATCATGTTGTGTCTCGCCGGCACCACTACCGCGGTGTGTGCCGTTTGGAATTCAAGACTGCTGCTGGCTTCCGTGTAGTGAGCCAACCAAACTTCAGCGGCAAGAAGGGCGTACTGAAAGGTTACACCAACACCATGTTGACTTCGCGTCCGTTAATCGTGACGATTCAGTTGACGAGGAGGAGGAGGACAAGATAGACGACTCCTACAAGGGGTGGGAGGATGATGTCGGTCGCGCGTATTTCCCCGAGGAGAATGAGTACGAGGAGCTGTCTATTGCGGATGACGACTATATCGCCCCGGAGGACGAGTACTGAGGCGAGGGTAACGAGATAGCGACCGGGGAGGAGAACTATCACGGCTGGGGCCCAGTCCCATCCCCCACTGCGGCTAACACTGCCGGCTCAGTACGTATGCGGTTGCTGAGTTGCAGATACTCACTCACTATAACCCATCATGTTCCTGCAGCTTCCTGACCTATCTTCCACTCCCTCAACGGATTCGAGCTCCTCGACAGGATCGAACTCCTCGACGGGATCGAACTCTTCAACGCAATGGAGCTCCTCGACGGAGTCGTACGTGTTCTCTAAGGCTGCTGAACAGTCTCAAGAATCTGCCAAGGACCGCAAGACGGGCGAGCGCAAGGAGCAGGGGAGGACAATCATCCCGGCTCCTAACCACGTCCTCCCCCCTGCTGTACCCCACAACATCGTCTTCGTGGGATGCCCACTCTGCCTCGAGCCGGCTGTCAAGCCCTGCGTTACACGATGCGGACACGTTTTCTGCGGGCCGTGGGTACTCTTCACATGTCAGGCGTTTCTGGGGCTGACAGTACCATCCCCACCTAGATGCATCAACCAGGCGCTCGATGCGAGGCAGAACTGTCCCGTATGCCGTCTTCCCGCTGGGCAGAAGCAGCTCAGGAAGATATTTATCTCCGCTCCCGCTGGTACCGAAGTGTAGAACACTCCGTGGACGCGGTCGCTAAGATTTGTGGGAGGAGTGGAAGCTTCATAGACGAATTGTGGACTATCACTTTATGTGTTCTGAGTCTTGTGCGCATTTCTTGTTAAAGCAACGCACTATTCGCAGACCTCGCCTCCATGAATGACACAGCGTGCCAGGAAGGGTTCTTGCCAGCGGCATGGCCGAATTGTCCGATGCGCCTCTCACGGCCAACGGCATACATCACTCCATGTATTTCTGATTGAGCTACATAGGAGTTGAGATGGGAGATAATGCAAGAAAGGGTGTCCAGATTTAACGCGGGGCAGGAAGAATCGGGCTTCCCATGAGCGCCTATGTAGCACGATAACCTTCCGCGATGAGCGCGGACGCGGCGGTGTTTGAGCCTTTGAGGCAGCGTACACCTTTTGGCTTGCAACAGCCACCCGACGACTTCCTAGCTTGTCGGGCCCTTCATTGCTTTCCTCTATTCTATGCTCTGTACCTTGGACTGACTGTAACATCTCTGTATACCTAAGAATTCTGTACTGGCCGCGACCTCCAACTTCTTCCGGCAAAATCACGCATACACCTCATCACGATGAGATTCACCAAGCCAGCATGGGTCATGCATAAAGGTCCGTCCTGTGCTGTATAGAGTCACTATTCCTCGTATCCCGACATGCCCGCCTTGCAGATTCCGCCATGCGCGGAGACGAGAAGCGCGTCTCGATATTCTCTTGCCATGTCCACCCCGATGGCTCGCGAATCGCGACCGGCGGTCTCGACGCCAAAGTGCGCATCTGGAGCACAAAGCCCATCTTGAATCATGCGTCCGAGCTGTCTGGGAGGCCGCCGAAGTCACTCAGTACTCTCACTATGCATACCGGACCGGTGCTTGTGGTACGGTGGGCCCACTCCGGGAGGTGGTTGGCTAGCGGCAGCGACGACGAGATTGTGATGATATGGGACTTGGACCCGTAAGTGGTTGTGCGTTTTTGCTAGTGCTGAGACGAACGTCGCGCTGAGCTCCGGGTCGTGGGTCGTGCGCAGATCGGCCAAAGGGAAGGTTTGGGGTTCGGACGAGGTCAACGTAGAGGGTTGGAAGCCTCTGAAACGTCTGGTTGGCCATGAAAGCGGTGTGTGCCTATGTGTATGTATATGTTGGCGTCGGTTGTTGAGAATGCGATTTCCCAGACGTTACGGACGTGGCGTGGTCTCCAGGAGACCGATACCTAGCGTCGGTTGGGTTAGACTCCGCAGTGTTGGTCTGGTGCGGGTACACCTTGGGTGAGTGAAGCCAGTCGTTCGCCTCTTAGCTGGGTTGTGAATAATATATGCAGAGCGGCTACGAAAAATCGACCAGCACCAAGGTTTCGTCAAGGGTGTATGCTGGGATCCAGTAGGGGAGTTCCTGGCCACGGGTTCCGACGATAGATCTGTTCGAATATGGCGAACGACCGACTGGGAGCTAGAAGCGGAGGTGAAGAAGCCCTTTGACCACTCTCCAGGAACCTTCTTTCGACGGCTGAGGTCAGTGTGATTTGGGTCCCCCTACGTCCCTTCTGACGTTTGAGTAGTTGGTCTCCAGACGGCGCACATATCACCGCATCAAATGCAACCAACAACGAAGGCTATGTCTTCATCGCGGCGGTCATTGCACGAAACTCCTGGACGTCTGAAATTAGCTTGGTGGGCCATGAGAACACTGTAGAAGTTGCCGTATGTAGATCGGTTCTCTCAGTTGATGCATGCTAAGCTACATACAGGCATACAACCCTCATATATTCTTGCGCGATCCATCCCAACCTGTGACTGCACATAATATCTGTTCAGTGGTCGCTCTCGGTGCCGACGATAGGGCTGTCTCTGTTTGGCAAACCAAAGCACCTAGACCCATGGTTGTCGCCAAAGATGTCTTTGAGCGGCAGATCATGGATCTCAGCTGGTGAGTATGGCTGCTTGAGTAGCTGTTGAATGCGTGCTCATCTACATATAGGTCGCAAGACGGGCTCACACTATACGCTGTCTCCTCAGATGGGACAATGGCAGTCTTCAGCTTTGACTCCTCCGAGATGGAAGGCATCGCACCTTCGTCTGCTCAAGAACAATACCTCAAACGCTTTGGATTTGTCTCGCCACCCGTTCCCGAGGGCTACTCACATCTGGCTTCCCTCCAGGAGCAGAAAGCACAACAGAACAACCGCATCACCCCGCCTCCCTCCCCTCGCGCCCAGTCACAGGACTTCGGCAGTGCCGCGAATGCCGCGCCCGGTGGGGAGCAGGTCCACACGCTCGTCGCGAAGCGCAAGCCAAAGAAACGCATACAGCCTACTTTCGCTGGTTCGCTGTCTGGGCAAATACCGTCTTCATCTGTCAACGGGATTAAGCCGCCGCCGTCGAGCTCATCGGGCGCGCGTGCGTTTCAAGAGTCGTCGACGGTCCCAATATCTGTACCTTCGACATCGGCCTTGCCGTTATCTATCTCACAGCCGTTCGGCACCTCGAGCTCGTTCGGGCTCGGGCTGAATACTGGAGAGAGCGACTTCGCGATGGACGTCGACGACGAGGTGCGAATCAGTTCGCTCGACGGCGGCATGCAGAACCCGAAGGGCAAGAGGAAGACGGGAGAGGACTTCGATGACCGGACCGCGAGTAGGGCGCGCACTCTAGGTGGGGATCGCGTACGGGAGCCGGCGGTCGCTAGGCCACTTACGAACCGCGTGCCGCCACCGGGACCTCCGGGTGGAGGCGTTTGGGCTGAGGGCTCGAGCCTTGTTGGAAGACTGGAACCGCCGCAGTTGGTGACATATCTGAAAGCCACCGTTGAGGGTAGTGAGGATGTGTTCGAGGGCAGGAATGCTGAGGGCGATGGTATGTGCCACCACTATGACCCGTGCTGGCAAGCGGAGCTGACTGATCTCGACAGAGCCAAACGAGGTCCTGTACGTCAGCGGGAAGCAGACACAATGGCTCGACTACCTGCCGTCGCCAATCCTTGCACTCACTGCGACAGCAACATTCTGTGCTGTCGCTATGCAAGATGGCACTCTCACCGTGTACTCGCATACAGGCAGAAGGTACGTTTGCACTAGGCACATCTGCACGAAGGCCTTGTTCTGATCGGTTCTCAGGTTGATGCCGCCGTTGGCGATCGGATCGCAGTGTTGCGCTCTTACCAGTGCCAAGAGCATGCTCATGCTGCTCACGGTCTCCGGACAGCTATACGTCTGGGACGTGAAGAAGCAAGCAGCCAAGTTCCCTCCGACCTCTATCTCCGCAATCCTCGGATCATCGCCCAACCTCACCGTCGCCACCGCAACGGTCCGCCCGAACGGGGCCCCCGTCATTCAGCTATCGGACGGGGTCGCACACTCCTACGATGCCTCGCTCTGCGTGTGGACGAAGCTCAGCGAGCCCTGGTGGTCTGAGGGCTCGGACGCGTGGCAAGGCCGCCAGCGGTCGAACAACCTGGCCATGCGCGGGCCGCTGACCGTGCTTGAGAGTGCGATCAGCGAGCGAATGTCCGTCGATGACGGCCGCGCGGAAAAGGTACGGCCGGCGTGGTGGAACGCGGCGCTCACGCTGGGTCATCTGGAGAGCAAGCTGCATGCCGCGAAGGCATTGGATAGTCCGGCCGAGTACAAGCAGGCGCTGCTATTGTATGCGAAGAGGATCGCGGACGAGGGCTTCAGGGGCAAGGCGGAGGAGCTGGTGAAGGAGCTCTTCGGGCCTGTGTACTGGTACGTGCCGTAGTGTCATTTTCTGTTGTACGAGTCGTTGACTCGGTCCTGGTAGGCGGCCTGGCCGTGACGAGTCTTGGTCTCCGACAATGCTCAATATGCCCAAGAGAGACCTATTGAAGGAGGTGCTCAATATTTTCGGTACGTCATCTCCTATACATTCTATAGGAAGGAGTATCCGGTTGACGCACTCTATCTACCATCACAGTCCGCAGCAAGACATTGACAAAACTTGGCCAAGACTGGCAGGAGACACTAAAGAAATCCCAGCTCGACGAATAATGGCGCTCTTCGTAGTATCTTCACTGACACTTGTCTACTACTGCTGCACTCTGTATGACTGTGTTGTTCGGGTTTCCTTACGGCTAATAGTATACAAAATGTCTCTGTGTACTGGTCGCACAATAGCCGCAGCGCCCGCTTCCTGCCGCACGCCAGTTGTAGACGCCCACAAGCTACAATGACCGTCACGATCGCCTTCCTATTGCGGGTGGGTGTGCGCAGCGTGACACGGTGCGACAATGGGTTGTCCAAGCGAGTGCCTGACTCAGTGGCCGACTCATCACCTCTTTCCTCCGCTTCTACCGCCTCCCCCGCCCTCCTCTGGCTCGCATCTCATCAGACGTGTCATGTAGCATGAAGCTTGATCTGTCAACATGGTGAGCTTGGTAAAGGGGGTTCGGGGAAATAATGGCTCAATCGCTTCGATTGGCAGGTTTCTCTGGATTATGCTCTTCGTGCAGTTGGTGTACGCTCAGCCACCTATCAAGCCTAGTAATGAACGTAATGGAACGAATTTGGTGTGCTTTCCCTTTGGAACGTGCGAGCCTTGCCCCGAAGATGCCGTACGTACAGGAGTCGGTACCTCGTGAGCCTCGAACCCACCTCCCTTCTTGTCCTGCAGTTGCACGAGCCGTTTTGCCAACCCTTCGGTAATCGACGCCTCATGCACTGTGTTCCCGTGTCCACTGCCGGAGGTCCGCCCACTTCCGTCACACACATCCATTCCCCGACGGAGGCGATTCGCGGCGAAATCCCAGCATGGGAATCCTGTGGTCGAATAGTCGAACAGGAGCGCGCTGACTTCTACGAATTTTTCGCCTGCAACCTCTTCATAGCCATCATCGCCATCACTGTTGTCCTTGCTCGGTCCAAGAGGTTACAAGCCATTCAAGCGAGGCAGCTAGCGGCTCGCATAGGACTGGTCAGATCTGTACCCGGTGGATGGAGCAGTAGCTGAAGGGCAGGGTTTGCGTCGGGACGGACAGGTAATGCCATATCAGTGAGTCGCGCTCATTCATGCACTATAACAACGGCTCCTAACGTCAACTGTAGCACTGTATACACACTCATAGTCATTCGACGTACTCTATATCACTGCAATTGCTATCCACCCGTTGCCGCATGTTCAGTTTTCTTTCCACAGTAATGGTATGTATAGCATCAAAACGCCTGTTTGTTACCCATCCCACAATAGATCACCCAAATTATGAGAATCGCCTGCCTAATTAAGGACGGCTCTCATTATCATTCGGGGCCTCTTGGTGCAGCGTTGTCACCTGTTACCGTCATGCGATCACCCGTAATGCCACCGCTCGTCCATGGGACGACCAACCCCACCTCTCAGCTGCATATAAAAGCCTAATTGGAGGTCTGACATTTCAAGCCAGTCTCTACAATCCTAGGGCATCATGTGGAACATACTTCATGTTCTCGTCCCTGCGGCCATGTTCTTGGGCGGCGTCGACGTCGCGTTCGCTGTAGCAGGAGTGTCCACCTTCAACGATGTGCGTACCATCGCAGCCACTTCTCTTACCTACTTACTCATCCCTATCTTTGTCGCAGTACTCTACGCAGACTGGTGTCGCGTGCTCTGGTATGACTCCCTAACGACTCAAGGTGTTCTCGTAGTCTCAGACGGCCCAAGGTTTCCAGCCAACGAATAGCCAAGGAAACGGGATCTTCGCCGCTGCTATGAGTGACTTGTCCCCGCTATGGGTTGGCGCGCGGTGCGAAGGCACAATGGACGCCAGCAAGTGTAATGGAAGTGGATCGTGCGTTGATTGCGCTGGACGTAAGAGGCCGGCTTGAATCAGAGCACTGCCATTGCGATTGACGAAATGTACCCATTACAGCGGCGTGTCCGGACGAGGAGCTCTGCGGCACGGTACGTGGCTGACACGTTGGCACGAAATTACGTCTAGCTGAGACGTCGAGGATTTCAGTGCTTCAACGTCCGATGTGCGTGTTTCATCTGTACCCGTCAGTGGCCGCGTTGAATACTAACGTATCCATAGGTACTGGCTCGCTGGACGGTGAAGTGGTCGGCGCATGCACCAACAACACGATCAAAGTCAAGATAGTCGACGCGTAGGTCTTACTTTCTTGTCGTTGTTCCAAAGTCCTTAGAGCACGTGTGCCATTTTCAGCTGTCCTGCTACGCACCCGGAGAATTTCTGCAAGATCCCGGAGTTCGGTGGTGTGAGTACACGTATTATTGGCGCTCCCCTCTGCGGTCGGTCTGATCGGTGGACTCATCTTTGATTCGCCCTGGAATGACAGAACATACGCCCCATCGAAGCATGCGAGCAACCTAACACGAATGCGATGGATATTGCTGTGACTGCCCGCAGTGCATTATCGACTTTCGTGAGTGGTCTCCCTCTCTGCTCTGGACGGCATACTCAAATATTCCATATCTGGGCAGCAAGGAAATCTCGACATTGACATTGAGTCGACGTCGTGCTGAAAAACGCAAATTCTCATCATCGACCATGTCAATGTTTCCCCATGTATTGTGTGTGAGTTTGAACTACGGTTCCCCCTGCCTTTATTCCTCAACTGCGCATGGTCTGGAGCGGTTTCGAGTTCCGTGCGGGTCTGATTCACGCCATGCGCAAGTGTCAGGGATGTCTTCCGGTGTTATAGCACTCCACCGAGGGACTGCATGTTAGTACTTGATAGGGGTAAGGTACTCCTGGTATTTATATTCTCGATTCACATCGTAGCACAATTTCGACGATGCCTGAGTCTCTAGAACGCACTTCCACTGATATTTCGGTGGGTTTCCGAGGTCACGCTAGATCCAGACACAGAACTCGTGTGTGGGTGAAAGGCTCGGAAGCAATTCGAGGCATAAGCAGGACCCTCGCTGACCAAGGCGGAGTTCATAACAGACTGCGATTTGACTCCTGTACACAACGCAGCTTTATAATACAAGGATGGTTGGACGGCAGAACGAACTGATGGGTCTTTATCCTGGTTTCCTGGAAATGTATGGATACGGCAAGCGCTATTGTACTGACGATCCCTTAATATTGTTTGCCATTGTAGACTTTTCCTGGTTTGCATAGAAGTTAAGCGCGTGCTTATTATGTGCCGTAGCCCGAGATCTTCCGACCTCCGATTACAGGTTTGCGCGCCCCTCGTACTCGGCCTCACCACTACAGGCTCCCGCAATCGCGTGGTAGTATAAAATTGCTTCCTGTTTTAACGTCTGCTACCTGTACTGTTCCACCACCTCACAATCCTCTTCAAGTAAGATTCTTCGCGTATTGTTTTGCAACGTGAAGCTTTTGACATATGGTGTAATCTGTAGACTCCTAAAACGCGGATTGAACCATGTCGCATCGCGCCACAGCTTATTCCGTTTAGCTGGAGCGCGATTCCCTGTACATCTCCACCTTACCCTTACCTTCCAATGTGTTTCATTGGGCTCTCGTACATGTCGACCCAGAGGGCGCCGCCACCCGCCATCACTGGGCGGCGACAACCATCGATCCAACAGGCCCAGAGGCGTATGTCGAGCAGGCGCTGCCGAATGGCCCGATGTCCAAGGTTGGCAATGACCAGATCCTTGCCTACTTCAAGATTTCGGATTACGGATTACAATCCGGTGGACGTTACCAAACTCCGAGACGTCTGTTCCTCGATTTTTCCTCTCAGCTATCCTACCGCGCAGGACAATCGACGTGCTAACATCACCTGTCGTACTTGGATCACCCACATCTTGGGTCGGCTCATCAGCGATGAACGCGCTCGAGAAGTTGAAGAGGCTGTGAAGAAACACAGCACCGTGTGTTCAAATACATACGCCACCGACTTTCTGTTCCAAAGGCCATATGAAGTACAGGTATACATAGTGTGATTCAGGTGCGCCCCTGTCTGGCCGTCACTGCCTCTGAATGACATTCGCTTCAGTCCAGTCGCAATGGTAGTAGACCGTGAATCGAGGGACAAGACCACATATTGTCGGCAGGCCGACCTGCCGCACACATGGAACATGTTCATAGCCAGCCGTAGATATCGTTGTTAGGAGGATTGCCGTTGTCCAACTTCCCTTGTAACGCTTGTAATCATGATCTCGTGTCGTCGTATTGATTACTGTCCCTTGAGCAAGCAAGCACTGCCAACTTAACACCGTTGGTCTTAAAAACCTATACCTTTTTCCGGTACCCCAGTCACTAGCCCTTGCTTTGATTCACTAGTTTCCCCAAAGGCGTATAACTCAAATCACGACTGCTGTTGCTTATTCGAGCAGTAAGGGGAAACTCCAACAGCGATTCCGGCCAACGATCTGTAACGAAAGTCGGTGAACAACTAAGTGGCTTTCAGCACAACCTGAGGTGTCTACGCGGCGGACTAAGGAAACTGATAAACCGTAGAGGAAGGAAAGAGTGAGGCGTATACCATCGCACATATCACAGAGCGGGATGATTGCCACACAGTTCCAGGGGCCCGGCGGTGCGGACGTCAAAATTCGAGCGAAGCTGCCTAAAAAAGCAAACCACAATTACAGCTGGTTGCGGAATTAATGCCAGCCGACTCCGAACGACGCTCGTGCACTTTCTGCATCGTAAAATGAAACAAATCCCATAAATCGCCCTGCACTATCAAACACCTAGATTACGAGGTACTCGACCCCTCTAGGTCTATAAGAGGCTGAAACATGATGAACAAGGGTGATTCACGACATTCGCAGAAGGCTCTTTGCAAGGACCTCACGGGCGCTACTTTGCGCAGGTAGGCCAGAGCAAACAGACAGGCTCTCAAGAATGGAAGAGACAGTATTTGGATGGTAATTCACCTCAAAGACAGTTTTGATGGTCCATATAGGCTATTACAGAACGTTGTGTGGCAAGGGTGCCTCGAGAAAACTGGAACTAGGTGCTACTTAAATGCTGCCTCTGCCGGCGTTGCATAGTGTTGATGATGTGTCTGCTGACGAAGTTCGTACTGGAAAGGTATCAAGAGCACCTAAACATACTTTGTTACAGATATCAGAGCGGGGAAACGACATTGAAGCCCACGAGAGTCACAATGATATACCGATGTCTGAACCTCTTCCGGCGCTTGATGCGCTGGCAAGAGCCAGGAGGCAGACTGCCTACTGCTCTGGCTAAGAACGTGTCAAATCTCCCTGTAAACCCACAAAACCTAGTCTGCATCAGCCACTACTTTTATAAGAGACGTTTCAAGGCGGTGCGCAGATGGCTGAGTGAGAAACCTCATCGCCCATAGGAAACTTCCAGTGATTTCTCTCGAAGGGCATAAGTCGGGAACCAGGAGTCCTACGCTCTCCATTCAAGTTCGTGAGGTCTCATACTCGCTTCTACAGAGATTATATGAAGTTCAAAGAGCACAGGGGAACAAAATGGCGAGTGCATGAATTTTTTGATTTTCTCGATTTCTGTGATTTTCTCGTGGTCGAAACTGCGTCGGAGTTGGTCGGGCATAAATTTCGCAACCAGCTGTAAAGGCGGGACTCTTCCTCACCGCAATTATATGTCCCTTTCTGAATGTCTATACAAGCCCTTCATTTACTTCGTTCGCGTGGAGAGCGAGAAGGGACAGGAAGAGCAGCTGTCCAGCCGACTGCAGAGGCCAATCGCAATGCTGGCATCACTTGTCGGACTTTCGTTACTCAAGTTTTGTCAAGCATACTGGGCTCAGAGCGTGCCAAGAACATTGAAGAATACGTGACAAGCCAGAGTAACCCTGCTGGGAACGCTCTCGTCTCAGCATTCTTGACGGGAATATATTATGTGACACCGGTTATTACCGTCCCCAGACCAGAGGAGGCTCAAGTGGCTAATGCATCCATTTGAGGATTTCGTGCGTGCACTCAAGTTCTTCACTTGATCACAGTGACAATCTAATTCTGACAATTCATATCTTGACTTGACAGCGTAGACGAAGAAGTGCCAGAAGAAGCAGCTTATTCCGTATATACCGCGCGTATCTCGATGTAATGTGTATGGATATAGGTATCGATAGGCAATAGCACGGGTGTCACACACCCGCAAGGGTTCTTCACAGGGGGGTGGATTGAGGGTCATGCCAGGCCATGCATCCTTTAGGCGCCCAAAGCTTCCAAGGGACGTGCATTTGCTCATTGTTCTCGTCCGCTGCGCGCTTGTCTCTGGTGCTGCCCCGCCTTCCTTGCTCTCTTACATTCTCTCTCTGCGTCCGGTACACTACTCATGACTATCAGCTATGATCATCGTCTATCTACTCCATCTCCGCTACTCGCTCTCATCACCGGCTCTTGCCCGAACACTCCTTCATGTCCCTCAAGGCTGAGCTCGAAATCTGGGCCGTTGCCCTCCAGGCCTGCAAGATGCTCACCAACAACAGCCTCTTCTAGGCCACCCTCAGCGAGCACGAGGCTGCCTTCGAGCAGTTTCCTACTGCCACCGAGCTCGACTGGTAACCTGCCGTCGTGTGAGTCTCTCTCCCTTCACCCTTTATGTTTTCCCTCCGTGACGCTCGTCGATCCGCATCATATTACCTCTCTGTCGCGGTCTTCTCGCTCGACGTCCTCTACCTCCCTCAAGACGGCCTCGTTTCACTTGCAAATGCGCCCCTGCATAACCCAATCCTCAGAGGGCGCAGTCAGCCGGGGACGCATGATGTGCCCCTCGGAACGGAAGTCCTCCCCAAGCTCAAGGGCATCAATGGTCTGACTGGTCCCGACATGCAAGTCGAGCTCCCGAGCTTTGACAAGAGCCGTTACAACGGTGAGGGAGACCGCGCTCCCTCAGGCACAATTGTGCGTCCTCCCGTAGACGTTGCGCTCTTCGAAGGATGGTGCGTAGGCAACGCACCCCACTCCGACGCCCACGACGGACCAAGTTCAGCCCTCATCATCTCGCCTCCTACACACTGAGCGTGCCGACCAGTCCACGCTTCTACCGCACAACAGGATCCGCACGGTCAAGGCCTTACCTACCAGCTGGCCACGGTCTGCACTCCTAGTCCGTAGAACCATCTGACCAACACAACGCCCAATGGCTCGAATAAGCCCACAGGTTCGGTTGTAACACCTAGCCGAGATCGTAGTGGAACCGTCATCGCGCGACCGGTATGGGAACGACCAACCAACACTACACGGCGAGCACATCGATCACCACTGAATGTGCATACTGCCTCAGCTATTCCGTCGACATCGACATCGGCCGCTCGTACGAAACCTGAGATGGAGATAGAATATGACGGAGATGCGGACATGGACACGAGTCGGGAAGGCAAAGCGCCCTCGCCCTCTCAAGAACAGCAGCATGCTCCCACAGGTAGCATACACGCAACTCACTCGTGTCGTGCTATTGGTAATGCATCCAATGCGGGCCCACCGTGGCTACCCCCGAAGCTCTCAGTTGGCCCGATATTGTCTTGCTCGCATTGTATAGTGGCGGGAATCTTGTGCACCTCTGCTAGTAGAGGCCTTGGTTCTGATCATGTACACTTTTTCGTAGCAATGTATGTGACGATACATTATGACACCGACTATAATACCATCCCCGCCATCATCTGTACCATATATCGTGGTCACCCTTGGGCAGCAACCCAAGGGCAACCCGTACCCTTGAGACCCGGCGCTTGCACCCGTGACCCTCGGTGGACGTTCACCCGTGCCATTGCCTAGGTATCGAAAACAGATTACTATATTGAATACATGAGCAAGCCCTGAGTTAAAGAGGCACTATATGCTGCCTCAGTTGCTGGATCAAACTTATGAGTCAAGATCCAGTATCGCGCCCACAACCCTGTGCAGCCAGGACGAGGACATCGCAACCTATGCAGTAACCAGTGCCTCGGGAGCCAACCTGCGTCTTCCCAGTCAATGATACCCGACAGATGCCCGTCTTGAATTAAGACATTCTGCATGGCCAGGTCGACCGGCTGCCATACAACTCGATCCTCCAAGATCGGGTTCAGAACGTCAGGTGGATAGGTTGTCAGTGCCATGGACATGGTCTTGTATAACTCCAAAGTACTCTCATATGACCCTCCGATGTGCTCGTAAAAAACGCCCGGATGGGGCAAGCCATGCCCACTCGCGCTGACCATCACTTTCCCTGAGAGATTCGGGGGTTGGGGAATGCGCCACAGCTCGTCTATGACGCCAAGAATTTCGTCCTTCACTGTCGCAAAGACATTTTCGTCAAGATCTGGTTGTTCGATAAGGGTCTTCCCTGGGATTTTCGTGATGATCGCATAGCTAGCGCCGTCCAGTTGGAAGGTGTCGATGAGCTTGGGGATAGGAAGATGGGGTGCGACACGGTTTAGGAAGCCGAGAGCATCAGCCTCCGTGCTGAAAAGGCGGTCGGTACGCTTGAATACGAGCGGAATGCCGAAGCGAAAGAATCGGACTTTGTACTGGTTCTCCCTCTGACCGCAAACGGTGAGACGGAGATACAGCCAGAGCTTAGCACGCAGTAGTGTATTCCGCAAAGACGAGCGAAGTGAGTGAAGGCAGAACCAGAGGGCTCTAGAAACCAGTGTAGAATTCAGTACAACGTCGACTAGTATTTTGAGAATGCGTGCATTTTCTCACCTCATGAGGAAAGGATTTTACGTGATGAACCACACTAGCCGGTCAACGAGCGAGCCTGAGCAGTATGGCTTTGTATCTCTGCCAAATCAGATTGTCAGATGGCCAGATGGCACCCAGCGTCGTATACACAAAATTTACCTCAGTATTGTCACTTAATGCTGAAGAAGGGTGGCGAATAGCGTTCTCGTCGAGGCGATCGACCGACGACGCCGTATAGGCGCCGACACCTTTTCAGGGGCGGAGTACGAATTTGGTTCAAGGCAGGAGAGTATGCAGCCGCGCCGTCCACGCAGTAGCTTTGATTGAGGTATTATGCCCCGGATGTCTTTGAGCGACAGACTATGGATCTCAGCTGGTGGCTATTGCTGCTTGATTAGCTGGCCAATGCGTACTCATTCACATATAGGTCGCAAGACGGGCTCACACTATATGCTGTCTCAGATGGGATCATGGCTGTCTTCGGCTTTGACTCCTCCAAGATAGAAGGTATCGCGCCCTCGTCTGCTCAAGAACAATCACTCAAACGCTTCGGTTTCGTCCCGCTGCCCATTCCCGAGGGCTACTCACATCTTGCCTCCCTCCAGGGGCAGAAAGCACAGCAGGACAACCGCGTCACACCGCCTGCCACCCAAATTTCTGGTGTTAGACAGATGCGAAACCCAACTACGCCATCGACCCTTATCAAGGGTAGCCCAGTCAGTTGGTATGTCCCATTTTTGGAAGTGAAATATCCCGAGCCACCGCCACTGTTCTTGTTCTTGTTGACGTTACGTTGACCTATGGACTTGATCGTGGTCCTAACTTCACAGCGTCTCATCTTCTGGCTCTCGTCTACGTCGTTCCAGAGAGTGGGACAGCTGAAGGCCTCATCTCAGGGTACGTATACGGAATACTGCATGTCTGGTTGGAGTTGACTAGTAGCACTG